AACTCCTCGCCATCAAGCTGGCCCTCGAGGAGTGGCGCCACTGGTTGGAGGGCGCACAACATCCCTTTCTTGTCCTAACAGATCATCGTAATCTGGAATATATCAGAGGGGCCAAGAGGTTAAACTCCAGACAAGCCCGCTGGGCTCTTTTCTTCACATGCTTCCATTTTCATGTTACTTACATCCCTGGAAAGAAAAACGTAAAAGCTGATGCTCTCTCCGCCTGTTTGACCTTCTGACCAGTAACTCAGACCCTACACCAATTCTTCTTTCCTCTTGCATTAAAGGACCGGTACAGTGGGAGGTTCACTTTGCTATACAAGAAGCCCTAACCTCAGACTCTTCTCCTCCTGAGACACCAGCTGGGAAGAGATACGTACCAGCAGCTGTTAGACTCCAACTGATGCAATGGTGTCACACGTCCTTGGGGTCAGGACATCCGGGCATTACACGAACCACCGAACTTCTAGCCCGTAAGTTCTGGTGGTCCTCACTGGCATCCGACGTAAGAGATTACGTACTCTCCTGTCCAGTCTGCGCCCAAACCAAAAGCCCTTGTCATCTCCCTTCCGATAAGCTTCAACCTTTGCCAATCCCTCACAGACCCTGGTCCCACATAGCTGTTGACTTCATCACAGACCTTTCCGGAATCCTCTGGTAACACCACCATCCTTGTCATAGTAGACCGTTTTTCAAAAATGTGTCGTCTGGTTCCTCTTCCTCATTTACCTAACGCCATGGAATTGGCTGAGTGTATGTTCCAGCAGGTATTCCGTCTGTATGGGATTCCGGAGGACATCGTCTCTGACCGCGGGCCCCAGTTTGTCTCCCGGGTGTGGCGAGCCTTCTGTGACCGACTGTGGGTCGCCCTCAGCCTCTCCTCCGGGTACCATCCCCAGACCAACAGGCAGACAGAACGCCTGAACCAAGAAATAGGGAAGTACCTCCGGCAACAATGTTCTGCCTCTCCACACGACTGGAGTCGGTATATGGCCTGGGCCGAATACGCTCATAACTCACTCATGCATTCATCCCTTTGCCTTACTTCGTTTCAGTGTGTACTTGGTTACCAACCCCCCATGTTTCCCTGGGAGGCGGAGCCTGGTACTGTCCCAGCTGTCGACGTCTGGTTTCGGCATAGTGAGCGGGTATGGGAGACCGCTCACCGGCATCTGCAGGAAGCCTCTAATACCCAGAAACGCTTTGCCGACAGACGCCGCCGACCTACGCCACTCTTTCACCCCGGACAGCATGTGTGGCTCTCTACCAGAGACATCCGGCTCCGCTTTCCCTGCAAAAAGTTCTGTCCTCGCTTCAAGATAACCCATCGCTTCAACCCTGTCACGTACCGCCTCCAGTTACCCCCGTCAGTTTAAAATATCCTCGTCCTTCCATGTGTCTCTGTTAAAACCGGTCACCTACAGTCCTCTTCATCCTCCAGTCTCAACCCGCAGTGCGCCCCCACCGTTGGATGTCGGAGGGGAACCTGCCTATACCATTCAGGCCATCCTTGATTCCAAACGCCTGAGAGGTCGCATCCACTATCTAGTGGACTGGGAACGTTATGGGCCTGAAGACCGGTCCTGGGTTCCCGACCAGGACATCCCCAACCCAGAGATGATTCAGGCATTCCACCGTAACCGTCAGGGGGGGGGGGGTACTGTAAGGTTCTGTATTTATTTTCTTAGTCAACCTTGTGTTCTTGAACGTAGCCCTGTCTTTCATTTTTGTTCATTGATTTCACCTGTGTTACTCACCTGGTCTCATTAGCTCCTTATTTAGTTCAGTTCGTTCTGTTTGTGCCTTGTGAGGTATTGTTCGTTTTGACTCTACTAAGCCTTTTCCTAGCTCGTTTGTGAGAACCAGTTATAGCCTTCAGTTCTAGTTTTTGATTCTCCTGCCTGTTTTCCTACCTGTGTATGACCATTGCCTGCCTGTGACCATGATTCCTGCCTTTTACGAAGGCAAATTAAACACCTGCCGCGCTCTGCGCGTGAATCTACACCTTTTTCCTCCCTGAGTATTCATTACATTCTCACAGCAGGAAAATAATCTTGCAGCAAGAATAAATGTGAATTATTGTGTATTATAAATAATGGACATTTTTGTAGGGGTTGATAAAAATAAATGTTAGGGCAAGTGAAGTCTGACATTTTTAAATGGAAATTACAAACTTTAGAATACTTTTTAAACCTCGAATACACTACAAGTTTGCATTTCGTGTAACAAACGGGTGATGAAATTAAGAGCCTAGACCTGTATGTAGCTACAATAAAGATCAAAGTACCTAAGCTACAGAAAATAACTTGTTTCACAAGCTTACAGTATCAATATTGGTTCTCTATCTCCATGTATCAAGATTCAATGCTGACTGAGTATCGAACACAATACACACACACCATAGACAAACTGTGTGTGAAGACCGAACAGTGTCCACACCAGGGGTGTTAAAATCTTACCCTATGAGGTCAGGACTACTGCTGGTTTTCTGTTCTACCTGATAATTAATTGCACACACCTAGTGTCCCAGCTCTAAGTCAATCCCATATTAGAGGGGAAGAATGAAAAAAAGCAGTGAAACTGGCTTCGAGGTCCAGATTTGAATTTGAGGGCTCTACGCTGTCTCTCTATAGTCTGTAGACAGGTCCAGACATTCACAGAGACTAAGCTACTCCCTGAGGTCTATACTCTATATACCACCTTGTTACGTTCCCCAGCAAGAAAACCAAAAATGTCGCTGAAACAGAAGGGAAAACTAACAGTCATTGATCAACAACCAAAACGAAACAGGTGGGGTACTCAGCCAGCCACTCTTAAATATCACCTGTGCGAGCAGACGGCAACCAGCACAGGTGTAACACATACTGACTAACGAGGTGACACCAATCGGTGCGCCATACGTGCTAACGAGCTATACGTGCTAAAGTCCAACCTCAAAACATCAATGGAAAAACCAAAACCTGTAACAACCTCCTCCTGGGCCATCTGCTACAGTAGTTCCATTCCAACAACCCAACCATCTATTCATTAATTTATTTATTAGTAATCCATTCACACATTATCCTCCATTATGGGCTTTAGATCACATGCAACTGACACTGCCTTGTCTCTGAATTTGATGCTTTTCTACCAGTCATCTGGGTAACACTTTACTTTATAGGGGGGTATTCATTACACATTCATGAAACCAGTCATAACACCTTTACGAGTGTTGCTGTATCATAAAGGTGTTTTGAATGCCTTATGTATACTCCCAATAGTGAAGTGTTACCGTTATCCTTCCACCTCCCATCTCTCTGTCTCTCTCTCTGTCTCTCTCTCTATATATATATAATCAATATTGGGACTGGATTAAATAATCAGCGAGGCTGATCTTATTTGCTAGTTGCCAGTGACAGCAGGTGAGAGCCGTCTGTTGGTCCGGCGCTGCCCCAGTGGATCCTGGGAGAAGAGACGAGGGGGATGTTTGTTTTTCTTCCATGTATCGAGCCGTCTGCTCATCTGTCAGACGTGTTTTTCTCCTATGCTGGCAACATATGTTGAAATGGAGATGATGGGAGGTAGGGGAGAAGCCATTGGGAGAATGGGATTGTGGAATAAATGGATTGGAATGAGACAGGGGAGATGTTGCCTCCCTTTTACATTCTTGATTAACCTATCCACCAATTTCCAGATCCTAAAATGAATCTAGAAGGACTGACCTGCTCTCAGAAAGCTAATAATAGCTTACCTTACTGTCATTCTCCAAGTTATTTTGGCTGTGGTCTATTTTGGCTGTGGTCATTGACAGGAAAGCAGAGAGAAGAAACAGATTCACACAATGTCTAGTGCTATTGCCAAAGAGAATGATTAAACAACAACAATAACTGTGATGATGGAGTATAAAGCCTCATTTATTATGGAAAGGTCTAAACAACGACATACCTTGGCGACAGTAGGTTCTTGAATGCAAAGGTTGTACAATGTATAATTTACACCTGATAATTTTTTTGGGTACTGTCCTTTTTGTGAGACTTTCTTCGAGCGCCCCCCTGAGTTTTGAGAGAGATCTGCAAGGTAAATAGAACGCAAAAGCGCTAAGTTTGTCGCAAACCAGTGCCCGTAGTATGTTAACAACAAGGCTGCTCCCTTGATGGTAGGTTTATCCTTCGCTTTTCACGTTGCTGACGCTAATAAATACTAAACCAGTATTTTGCATTAGTGTAGCCTATATTGTCAAATTGAATGTCATCTCTGGGTTTAGCGTCCAGAATATGCACGCTATAGCACAAAAAGTGGAGGGATCACATCACGGTGAGTGTATCTCGATAGTGATGTCTCAGAAATGTTTTCAGGACTAATATTTCTGTGACAGGAAATATATTCTGCATCACCTACATGATTAAATAAATACAATATTTTAAGTACAATGAGTGTTCATATTTTTGCAGAAATACAAATAGCAAGGCCGGCTGCCTTGGACAAACAGCATGCACACAACCAAACGCTCCGGCTCAACACATGGCATATAGCTAACTAGGTAAAATGTCTTCTCACCTCTGCCTGCTCAAATTCCTACCTGTCACATTTTTCTAGATTATCAATCAAATAGATGTGATGTCTAATCATATACTAATCAATGATTTGTTGGAGTGCAAAAGTCTACACATACATGGGGCCCTCAAGGAACAGTAGTGATGAACTGGTCTATGAAGTCAAAATCCAAATAATGCAACATCACACATGGACGAGAGTGGAGGTGCAAACTAAAGCACTCATCTCACCACTCTTGGGTTTATATTTACAGCATATTAGCATGGCTAGTAGATTTCCTCTCCTTTGCATTGTGCATTTCTCTCCTTTCTCACTGTCCATGTTCTGTGTATCTGTCTATCTGTTGATGCAGCTAAGCTGTAGGCAGGTGACCCTCTTGGTCGCCACGTCTTGTTACTGGAGCTCTATCCCTGTGGCTCAGCCCTCACTACAAGCCAGGCTCCTCCTCTTCCTGAGCCAGTGTTTACATGACATTGAGCTATCCTCAGCTGGAGCTCCTGGTTCTAGAACTGAGGTCTACGACAGAAGAATTTGTATGTGTAACAGGAAAACACACAGATTATTCTAACTACATGCATTTCTATCTGCACACCACGGTCTAAAATGAATGTGTATGTTATCATCCGGTCCCAAATCGTTCCCTATCCTTCCCCCTTGGCCCTTACCCTTCAATGCACGATCTATAAGGCGTTAGTAAGCAAAATGGTGGACGCTCCAACACTACACTGCTTATGCTATCCAGACCCTTTAGATCTGCATGCAATGAAGTGTTAGGGCTAAAGCGAATGTGTAGGGAGCGAATTGGAACCGGGTGTCCCAACTCCATAAACATTGTGCTCAGCCCAACCCCTGTCTCTTTCCCCTCACAGTTTCTATGGCTACACCCAGCAGAACTGTGGGGACAACGTTGCAGCTGGTTATTATATCCTTAGCCTGAAGGGAGGATTCAGGTAACTGTTGCGCCATCTTGGGCTGCAAATAACTGCCTATGCATGCCCTCTTTTTGACCTGTTGGTGAATATTGATGTGCTTTCAGTGTTTCTTTGTCATGCATTTGGATGTTTTTGTTGTTGTTGTATTTGCTGATCACTGTGTCATTCACTTGTTGTTATTGATGACTAGTCTGTTGACCCTCCAGGTTTGCAGGGCAGTCGGGAGTGGTTCCAATGAGACAGAAGAGAACCACTGGGATACCTCCATAGAGGAAGTGGATGTCAGCAACACACTCATTAACTACACAGGCCTGGAAAACCTGGGTACATACCACTTTATTCATGGGGTGGGGATTTGTATTAATGCAGGATCAATAAGCAAGTTACCCTTCCTAAATATTAGTGGATAACCATTTTGGTTCATATGTATTTTTATGGATGTACTCAATGGCAGTGGTTTTCAACCTGTTTTCCACAGGTTTAAAAAAAAAAATGTTTTTAACAATAAATAACAGTTGGGAGTATTAATGGTATTATATGCAATTTTACATTACTTTTCACAATGTAAATAGTTTATAAAAATAAAAATAGGCCTTTAATCTGTTACATTCACTGACAAAATGTACTCTAAATTTGACCGCCAGGATTTTATGTAAAAAAAGTTCTGCGACTGCGGATGGTGGATCTCGAGCTTTTGGCAGTTGGGAACCACTGCTCTATGCTGTAAAATATAACTAATTTTTCTCTCTTTCTCTCTCTCTCTGTGAAACAGCGGGAGCTGCGTACTCTCTCTGTGAGTGGCTGCGCTGAGGTGGATCACTGGTTCCTGTCCCGCCTACATATCTTCCAGGACACCGTGGAGGAGCTGGACATTTCCAACTATCCCTGAATCTCTGTGGTGGGCCTGGCCGCACTGCAGAAGCTGAAGTACACTCACCCACACTGGAGGGAATGACAAAGACAGAGGCTTTTTTATCAATTTGTCTTTTCTCGGTTACTCACGTCCTATCTCCTTGCTTCGTTCTTAAAATGTATTGGAGGAAAAAAATACAATGTCCCTCCCTTTGGACATTCTCCTCCAATGCGTTTTGAGAAGAAGCTGAGGAGAGAGGACACAAGGAATCAAGGGAAGATTAATTGAGAAAGAGACAGAATTACTCAAATGTCCATGCATCTCCTCATGGCACTTGCCTTAGATATATTTGCATATGTGTATGTATAGGGGTCAATGGACTCCTTAACTTCACTAATTGACACAAACATCCCTTCTCTTCCTCTTGTGTATCAGGGGTCTGTGACGGCTGGATGTGTCCTCCCTCCCCAGGCTCCAGAACCCTGGGCTGGTCGCCATCCTGCTGGAGGAGATGCTTCCTCACTGCCATGTTACTGCTGTTGGGTACGACCACAGCCTGATCTACAGCCACACACAGATAGACGCCCAGACATGGATAAAGGCCCAGGCTGAGGCTGGACCTCAAAGACTGACTAGAGAAGTGGAGAGACACAATCAAAGTCGTGCATGGTGACAAATGCACAATCAAGCAGTCCGCTCTTATTTGCTCTCTTTCTGTCTCTTTAACTAACACTTACACAGACAAACAGGCTGGGAGGGATGCCCATTTAGTTTGTGATGTAGAGCCTCACTGATTAAAAATTATAAATTAACAGACAAGTGTTTTACTTACTTGTAGAGCATCATTGTCCTCCTTAAACTATCAAAATGATCCGTCCAAAAATATTTGCTTCAGAAAATGTATATATTATGATGGTACAGATGTTTATAATGCATTGTATTGGTGATGCAATAAAATATTTATTTGTAAAGTATGCCTTGTGTTGTACATCTGGATCAATACAGACATTAAAACCAAATGGACAGAGTTATGGTTAGCATTTTAAAACTGGTGTGAATCTTATTAACTGTAAGTGAGGGTTGTAAATCCCATAATCCTTTGTGAGACTGAGGAGATGAGACTTTAAAGGTGCGGTTGAATAGGAAGAATAACGATTCAAGAGGAAAACGGAGAGATTAACATATTTTGTAGATTGCGGTAATTATGTATTAACTACTTTATATACTGTAGCAATCATACTGTTCAAAACATTGCTGTCATGACCTCATGCTTAAACTACTTCTGCAGGTACATAAATGTCCGTGATATGATTGCTTCTCTTAAATTATGACAATGTAACAGATTTTGTTTTACTTGCACCGATACAAAACAGCTCCGCTAATTTATAAATCCAACTGCAATCTGCAAAAGTAGGCCAACGCTTTCGCATGTGCTTGTTTCTAGTCGGAATAGTTCTTATGCGGAAATTAGCAACACGGAATTAATTCGTGACCAACAACAACAATCATATCGCGACTGTACGAATTAACTTGCATATGTAGCAAATTAAGTTAAACACACGGGAGCAACCCACACAATATCATACAAATCTGTCTGTGAAGGATAAGTCTAGACGGATAAATGTCTGATGTACCAGGTATACCTTTTTCGTCTTGGGCTGGCCTTTGCTTGAAAATTAAGTGCAGCCAGCCAACCAACCAGCTAACTTAACTAGCTACATTGCTAGCTAGCTGCCTAGTTAAAGCTAGCTAACTAAAGCGTTCACCATTGTGGTTAGCTACTTGTAAATATTAACTTGACATGGATTTGTTTCGTATTTTCCAGGAACTTCTAACAGAGAAGAGGTCGAGGACAACACCCCCGAACCAGAGGTAAGAAATACTACAGCTGTGTTTAGAAACTGTCCGTGTGTGTGCATGCCTTGCCCCATGGATACCTGGCTGGCTAACGTTAGCCAAGAACTAGCTAGTAGCCACGACTAGTTTGTCAGGCACACGGTTAGTAGAGAACCTATCATGACTTGTCAAATCAAATTGTATTGGCCACAAGCGCCGAATACAACAGGTTGCAGACATTACAGTGAAATGTTTACTTACAGCCCTTAACCAACAGTGCATTTATTTTAGAATAAAATAAAACAACAACAAAAAAGTGTTGAGAAAAAAAGAGCAGAAGTAAAATAAAATAACAGTAGGGAGGCTATATATACAAGGGGGTACCTGTGCAGAGTCAATGTGCGGGGCACCAGCTAGTTGAGGTAGTTGAAGCAATATGTACATGTGGGCAGAGTTAAAGTGACCATGCATAAACAATTAACAGAGTAGCAGCAGCAGCTTAAAAATATGGGGTGGGGGTGGGGGGGCAGTGCAAATAGTCCGGGCAGCCATGACTAGCTGTTCAGGAGTCTTATGGCTTGGGGGTAGAAGCTGTTGAGAAGTCTTTTGGACCTAGACTTGGCACTCCGGTACCGCTTGCCGTGCGGTAGAAGAGAGAACAGTCTATGACTAGGGTGGCTGGAGTCTTTGACAATTTTGAGGGCTTTCCTCTGACACCGCCTGGTATAGAGGTCCTGGATGGCAGGAAACTTGACCCCAGTGATGTACTGGGCCGTACGCAATACCCTCTGTAGTGCCTTGCGGTCGGAGGCCGAGCAGTTGCCATACCAGGCGGTGATGCAACCAGTCAGGATGCTCTCGATGGTGCAGCTGTATAATTTGCATGCAATACAATGTACATCATCTTATGATGTGCATAAAACCAAGCAAGGATTATATTGTAATGTCCTTGATCAAACTAATGTTTCCATGTTTACACTGAATTTCCTCTTGATTTCTGCTAGGAGCAGTCAGACAATAGCAGTGACGACGGCGAGGCATCAGGGGACACAGAGAGTAGGTGTCAAGGTTTTGCTTTTAACATGAAAGTCTCATATTTTCATCAGAATAATTATTTGTTCCTTTCGTACAGTGGATTTCCTGCGCAATCTCTTCTCTAAAACCTTGGGCATATCTGGAGAGAAGGTTTTGGATGAGTTGACTCTTGAGGGGGTGGCCAGTTACATACAGAGTGGCAAATGTGAGTCTTTTATTCATCTATAACCCAGTGTGCACACATTTCATGTAGGGGTTATTGACTATGTAGCCCAGCAAACAGTGCATCTGGCAACATCTAGGCCTAGTTGTATAAATAAGTCATTAGTCAACCCAAGAAAGTAGACTGTATTATGAATAACATCTGTCTAGCCTGAGGCCATATCATTTGCTTGCTGAACAACATACCAAGATTTAAGTATGTTACTACAACCACCTGACTATGTGACACTGCTTCATTGGATAACAAATGCTACAATCCAGGAAAAAAAAATATTCTCTCTGTTCCTCTATCCTCCACAGGCAAAAACATAATCTGTATGGTGGGGGCAGGGATCTCTACATGTGAGTAACTCCCCCTCTTGCATAACTGTGGGCTGAACATAACATAATTAGTCTAGAAATGTTTTGTTTTGTTGGACATATAAGACACATAGCCTAAATACAAATAGATTTCCCTCGAAATTGGATGTACAATGTATCCACCACTTTTGTGACGATGACACTTTCCCTCTGTCCCCCTCAGCGGCTGGGATCCCTGACTTCCGCTCCCCAGACACGGGGCTCTATGCCAACCTGCAGAAGTACAACCTGCCCTACCCTGAGGCCATCTTCCAGATAGACTACTTTAAGGTCTGACCACTTTCTGTCGGATTCTTTTGGCTTAAGCTTGCTACACTAACGATCTACACAGATTATTTTGTTCTTTGCTGCTATCACTACTCAAGATTTACCTCTCTCTTTCTACATCAGAAACACCCTGAGCCTTTCTTTGCCCTGGCCAGGGAGCTGTATCCAGGACAGTTTAAGGTAGGATCTAGCCTATTTTCTGGACTTTAATTTTCTTAACTTAATTTCCTGAATGATGCAATAGGTGCCTGTGTATTTTTTTTGATATCACTAACAGCAGTGTTGTTGTATGTTAAGCCCACAGTATGTCACTACTTCATCAAGTTGCTGAAGGACAGGGGGCTACTCAAACGCTGCTACTCACAGGTTAGGTATTCTTTCATATACTTTATTATGTGTCTGAGTTAGTCACCTACAGCCTGTATTGAATTGTTATTGGGGTCGTCCATTTCTGTCTGGGCAGAATATTGACACCCTGGAGCGTGTGGCAGGACTGGAGGGAGAGGACCTGATTGAAGCCCATGGCACCTTCTACACCTCACACTGTGTCAGCTTTATGTGCCGCAAAGAGTACGACTTGGACTGGATGAAAGGTTAGTGTATGTGGTATGGTAATTTCTAACTGGGATGGTTTAACAAAACACTGTTCTATATCGTGGAGCTCCGCCCCATAGGGGAGCTCTGCTCCTATTGGTTTACCCTCTGCCCTAAGGCAGCATCAGCCTGAGACAAAATTATGCACACACCTGCAGCCAATAGGAGTACAGGTGTCCCTATAAGAGGGGATGCCTCCCCTCAATCTGCCTCCCTTTATCTTCAGCGACTGGACGACTAGACTGAAGAGACAAGAAGAGACGACGCACGAAGACTCAGGACGAAAACGCCGTTGATATCCAGTCATCAACGTCGTCTAAATGAGCACACCGGGAGATTTCCCACCCCCAAAAGCTATTTTCAGAGCTCAGTGCAGATGCACTTCCATGGCGGCCGGTGACCACCACGACCTATGTTTCGTGTGTTTGGGATCCCAGCATGCCAAGGAAGGCGTCTGCAGTCCCCCGAATTGCGCCTCCTGCGCCCTCCTTTCTTTAAAGGAGAGGAAGCAGCGTTGGGCGTTTTTCAGGGAGGACATCCCCCTTGAGGACGTGCTGTCTATACTAGCCTCTGCTTCAGAGGCGTCGTCTGACGGCGCAGACTCGGGGGAAGATAGGGACTTTGAGGAGGAGTCTGGCGTTCCGATGGAACAGTCAGACCCCATCCCTCATACTTTCAAGCCCCCCTTTCCTTTGGGAAGCGAGAGGGCTTGCAGTCCCTATAGCGAAGGGGACACGAGCTCTGAGAGATCAGAAGCTCTGTCTTTCGCTGCAGCCTCTCTGAGAGCGGATTTTCCGGGTCTCATTGAGAGAGCTGCTAGACGTCTGGATATAAAGCTGCCCCCTCTTCCCTCCGCACCGGAGGTTGATATGATGGAGGGCGGACCTTATTCCAGGCCAAGGAGGGCGGCAGAGCCAGTGGCTCCTGCCATGCCTTCTTTGGCTAGATACGTTGAGGGCTCGTGGGAGGCACCTTTAGCGGCGCATTCGCCAGTAAAAGCGTACCTCCCATTCACGAGAGTGGAAGGAAGGTTCCAGGGTCAGGGAATCCCCAGGTTAGAGAGCGCCATGGCGGCGTATCTCGTACCGGGTTCGAGTCCTTGGCCCTCTTCCAAGAAGGCCACGTTGCCATCCCAGAAGGACCGTCTAACAGCATCGCTGTTAGAGAAGTCCTTCGGGTTGGGAGCCCAAGCTGTAGCAGCAGCTAATAACATTGCCCTCTTGGCGGCCGCTCTGTCCCGTTTAACCACGGGTAAGACAGAGCTGGCACCGGAGGAGGTGGAGGAGGCGTCCAGAATTTCTGGTGCCATACTTCACCTAACACAGGCGTCTGCAGTCTGCGCGGGGAGGTCCATGGCCACTTCGGTGGTCGGGGAACGACACCTCTGGTTGTCTTTGACTTCCATGAAGGAGGCAGACAGGACGTCTCTACTGAACGCTCCCCTCTCTGACGACGGCCTCTTTGGGGTCGCAGTCAAAGAGGCGACGGAGCTTTTCTCAAAACTGGAGGAGGACAAGAAACAGCTGGCCAAGCACCTGCCATTGGCAGGACGACTGGGCCCGGCTCCGTCACAGAGGCCATCTACCTCCGCCCCTCAAAGTAGACCGGGGTCTACAGCGAGGCGGCGTAATCGGCGTCATCCGGCGGCTGCGGGCAGCAAGGGAACGGGCCCCGCCCTTCCAGCAGCCACAGTAGCCCCACTACAGCCGGCGAGGGAGGTGACGAGGACGCCGACCTGGCCCTCCAAGGGAGGCAAGAGGAGGCGTACATGACGGGACGCGGGGGAGAGAATGGAGGATCCTTCGTCTTCGAACGTATCCACTGTTCCCCCCCACCCTTCGGTTGAAGGGATGGGTGATATGATTGCTTTTGTTGATGTATGCAATAAAGAGTTGGCTCCACCTGACCTTGTCAAAAAAGAGCCCCTTTTCCATAATACGTCCGAGAGCGTTCAAATCTCACCCTCTCTTCCTTACCACTCTAAGAGCCGTTCAGCCCACCAAGGGTGCGTTGCTGAACAGGCACTTAGAGTAGGTACCCATAACACTTCATGTATAAGAAGTGCTTTACATAGCAGGCAGCAGTCTCTGTCAGATTCTGACATGATGACGCAACCGCTATTTGGGGATGGCGCACTAGCACAGACTAAGGTCTCTGCTAGTACGAGCCAGACCCATGCTGCGTTCAAGGAGGGTCCGATTACCGCGGTCACGAAGGTGTCCAGAGTATCGGCGCCCCCAGACATTGTGACACAGCAGCTATCTGGGGATGGCGCACTATCGCAGACCAAGGTCTCGGTTAGTGCGATTCAGACCCATGCTACGTTCACGGAGGGCCGGATTACTAGGGTTATGGGAATAACCAACGTATCGGCTCCTCTGACAGAACGAGCTAGTACTCACCACACTGAGTGTGAATCAACCCACCAGGGGTGCAGAGTTGAACACACACAGAAGGTGAAGGTTAAGAGGGTATCAAGGCGCTGCCTTGTTTTACCCCATAGAGACCTCATACTACAGACTTCTAGGAGTACTGTAGTGAAGGGCTCTAATAGCGAATTGCAGTCACCTAAGATGACGCAATCGCTTGCCGGGGATGGTGCCCTGTCGCAGGCTGTGGCCTCGGTCAGTGCAATTCAGACCCGCGATGCGTTCAAGGAGGGCAGGAATACGACGGTTACGAGTTTAACCGACGTCTCTGCTCCTCTTTCTCTCTCAGAACGCATTGATGGTTCCTCTCCCTTTCACGGGAGGCCCACCTTGGGCTGTTCCACCACTTCAGTGTTGGGGAACAGTGGCGGTAAGGGCCATAGAGGAATACAGGTCCTTCCTACTGGATGCACCACAGCTTCGTGCTCAGCCGCTTTCTCTGCATTGCTGGCAGTGGCGAAGAAGCTGTACCCTCTCACGCTGGCTAGAACAGACGTTGCAGAAGGGTTATGCTCTCCAATTCCACCAGACCCCACCCCCGTTCAGGGGAGTGGTGGAGACGGTGATGAAAACGCCAGACAAAGTGGCCGCTCTGATGTCAGAGATTACGGAACTTTTGGCGAAGGAGGCGGTCACAGTAGTTCCCCGGGAGCAAAGGAACAAGGGGCTATATTCACCTTATTTCCTAGTGCCCAAAAAGACGGGGGGAGTGAGGCTGATTTTGGATTTACGCATTCTCAACGAGAGCATAAACAAACGGCCCTTCCGAATGCTAACGACAAAACGTCTGCTGGAATGTGTCCAGAGAGGGGACTTTTGTACGAGCATAGACCTAAAGGACGCGTACTTTCATGTGCCGGTTCAGCCGCGTCACAGGAAGTTTCTGCGGTTCGCCTTTCAAGGGGTGGCGTACGAATACACGAGGATGCCATTTGGGTACGCCCTGGCACCTCGCACATTTTCCAAGTGTGTGGAGGCGGCATTGGAACCGTTGTGTCGTCAGGGAATACGGCTACTAGCCTACCTGGACGACCTACTGGTTCTCGCCCCGTCAGCAGAGCTGGCGATCACTCACACAACACAGACAGTGATGCATCTCACAAGTCTGGGGTTTGCTGTGAATTGGAAAAAGAGCGCGCCCTGGCCCACTCATCAGATTGTCTACCTGGGGATACAGCTAGACACTGTGAGGATGAGGGCTCGAATTTCGGACCCCCGAAGGGTAGCCTTGTTGCTAGCCCTGAGGAAGTGTCGTCCGAATCACACGGTGACGGCGCTGTCGATCATGTCACTTTTGGGTCTCATGTCGTCAGCCCACTCTGTGGTTCCGCTGGGACTCCTGCATATGCGCAGGATGCAGCGATGGTTCGCCCAACTAAGACTAGACCCATTGCGTCAACGTCATCGGTTGGTGGTGGTTCCACTCTCGCTCAGTGCAGACCTGAACTATTGGAGAAACCCGCGCGTTCTTACGCACGGAGTCCCGATAGGCAAGGTGTCCTCCTACATCCCAGTGTTCACGGATGCGTCTCTGACGGGATGGGGAGGGACATGTCAGTCTCAAGCGATAGGAGGTGTGTGGCCTCTCTCGAGTCGTCACATCAACCTCTTGGAGTTGGAAACGGTTCGACTGGTTCTGACCCACTTCGCGTCTACCCTTCGGGGTCGCGATGTGCTGGTCTGGTCAGACAACCGGACCACAGTAGCTCACATAAATCGCCAGGGAGGAGTCAGGTCTCCTGCTCTCCATCAGGTCTCCTGCTCTCCATCGGGCGGCAGAGGAATTGTGGCTGTGGGCTCACGAGCACCTTCGCTCATTGAGAGCAGCACACATTCCGGGCTACTTGAACGTAGGAGCAGACCTCATGTCAAGAGGGGGTCCTCGAGACGACGAGTGGTGTCTGCATCCGGACATTGTTCTCCAAATTTGGGAACAATTCGGGAGAGCCGAGGTGGACCTATTCGCGTCACGCGTGAACGCGCAATGTCCTCTGTGGTTCTCTCTGAGGGAACAGGACGAACCGCCACTGGGAAGAGACGCCTTCGCGCACCAACCGTGGCCGAGAGTTCTCCTGTATGCATTCCCTCCGCTGTCCTGCATTCTCCCACTGTTAGCCAGGGTGAGGTCAGGAGGGCTGTCAGTGATACTGATAGCCCCCGATCGCCCGGGGGCTCCTTGGTTTGCGGAGATGAGTCAGATGTTGATTGCGCCACCTTGGCCAATTCCACATCGACGGGACATGTTGTCTCAGGCGGGAGGCACGATAGGGAGATTGCCCATAATCGGCCAACCACTGAAGGCCTGGCTGCTGAGAGGGACAGGCTAGAGCGCCGTGGGTTATCTGATGCAGTGATCAGGACCATACAGGGTTCACGTGCCAGTTCCACTTCTAAGATGTATGCCAGTAGATGGAACGTGTTTTCACGATGGTGTGTCACACAAGGTGTAGACCCCATGAGCTGTCAGGTGGAGAGTATTCTCTCTTTTCTACAGCTCATGTTTGATAAGCAATGATCGCCTGCCACTATTAGGGTGTTTGCAGCAGCGATTTCAGCTTGTCATGAGGGGTTTGGCAGAGACAATGTCTTTAGCCACCCTCTAGTGAAACGCTTCCTATTAGGAACGCGGCGACTTAGGCCAACACTTAGAGTCACACTTCCTCAGTGGGATTTGGCTTTGGTACTCGAAGCGCTATGTAAGTCGCCGTTTGAGCCATTGAATCAAATACCCCTCAAGATGCTGTCTATGAAGACAGCACTGTTGCTCGCTTTGACTACAGCTAAGCGGGTCAGTGATTTGTGTGCTCTTTCGACGAGACCTGACTGCCTGGCCATCAATGGTGACCTGAGCAGAGCAGTGTTACGTCCTAACCCGGCATTTGTGCTGAAGGTTATTAAGAGTTCATATAGGTCACAGACCGTGGAGCTGTGGGCATTTTCTCCTCCTCCTCATAGAGAGAGGAGTGAGGAAAAGCTCCATCGCCTGTGCCCAGTACGCGCTTTGGCGTGTTACGTCGAGCGCACAGCAGCGATTAGGTCATCGCCTCAGTTGTTTGTGTGTCACGGTGCGGCTGCACTAGGTAGACCACTTTCAAAACAGCGATTGTCTCACTGGCTTTGAGAAGGCATTGAGACAGCTTACGAGGCAGCGGGGCGACAATTGCCTCAGGGTATCAGAGCTCACTCCACTCGTGGAGTAGCAGCTTCTACTGCCCTTTTCAGAGGAACAGGGGTAGAGGATATCTGTAGAGCAGCATCATGGTCGACGCCGTCTCCATTTATCCGTTTTTATCTCTTAGATATGTCTTCTAACTCTCTGGCTCGATCTGTACTCAGCGTGGCTGAAGGGAGATCTTGAGCAAGAAAGAGAGGAGAAGCTGGACTGTGGACACAGGTTTCCATCAGGTCCGCTTTGGTAGGAAGACGTGTTTTTGATAGATATGTTTTCTAACTCTTTGGCTCGGTCTGTACTCAGCATAGCTGAAGGGAGATCTTGAGCTAGGAAGAGAGGAAAAAGCAGGACTATGGACAAGGTTTCCATCAGGTCCGCTTTGGATAAGAAAGCATATTTTGTGGCATGACTCCTGACTGACAGGTTCAGTACAGTAGAGGCATGTGTTGATTTGACAGAATGTGAGGTCATCTATCTGCTTGTTCAGTTTTAGTATGACCCATGTTTTGTTCCTGCCCACTAATCTCTGGGATTCCATTGAATGAGTGAGGTGGTCTACCGCGTTCACAATGTAGAGTGACACTTGGTGTCATTCCATTAGTGGTCGGTAGTGTTTTCACAGGATATTGAGGCACATCTATCTGCTAGTACAGATTAGGTATGGCTTCTATTCTGGTGATCTGCCCACTAGTCATTGGCATTGCCATTGGACTTGGTGGGGCGGGTCTTTTAACCGATGACGCGGTATATTGTGACGCCCGTATGGGTTTTTAGTTGCAGTACTGCGGGACTTGGTTGCAGCCATTGCTAGGTCTGACCTTTTCGTTTCGATGGGAAGTGTTGGGCTCGGCAGGGAGTACATTTTGGAGCGCTACGCTCCGCCTTAAACCAATAGGAGCAGAGCTCCCCTATGGGGCGGAGCTCCACGATATAGAACGATTAGTTACCGGAGTGTAACTCCAGTTCTATGAGTGGAGTGGAGCCCCATAGGACTTAAGGCCCTGCCGACCCTCTCTAGTCTCGCTGAAGATAAATATCTCGGGAGGCAGATTGAGGGGAGGCATCCCCTCTTATAGGGACACCTGTACTCCTATTGGCTGCAGGTGTGTGCATAATTTTGTCTCAGGCTGATGCTGCCTTAGGGCAGAGGGTAAACCAATAGGAGCAGAGCTCCCCTATGGGGCTCCGCTCCACTCATAGAACTGGAGTTACACCCCGGTAACTAATCGTTATACCACCTAGGCAGACACTCATTTACATGTATATGCTAATTAAGTTGTCATTTAAAAGGAATGGTGCAATTAAAATAATTGTTGAATTATGATCTCTTTTACCTCTGACCTGCAGAGAAAATCTTCTCTGATGACATCCCAAAATGTGACAAGTGCAGCAATCTGGTTAAACCAGGTGAGTGCTTGCCTGATCATTTCCTTTCACTTCTCATCTATCCTTACTTGAATATGCTCTCTCCCTTTTTCAGTTCCTCATAGTTCAAAGTTCTTACTGACCCGTGTGTGATACTTTTTTTTGGTAAAATACTTGATTTCTCCTTGTTCTCCATTTTCAGATATTGTTTTCTTTGGTGAGAATCTACCAAAGAGGTTCTTCACCTCAATGGCCATGGTTAGTGTGGTTTGGGTGGTGACCTGATAGACTACATTGAGTTTGTATGTCTTTGTCTTTTCCATGTATGTGCAGATGTGTGTGTGTGTGTGTGTGTGTGTGTGTGTGTACAACCATAATGAAGTGATTAACCATAATGAAAGGTACAGTACTGGTTCCAGTTACCATCTCTCTCCTGTTTCTTTTTTCCACCAGGACTTTCCTCGCTGTGATCTGCTGATTATAATGGGGACCTCCCTGCAGGTTCAGCCCTTTGCTGCTCTGGTTGGCAGGCGAGTCTTTGTGTCTGACTCTTTTCACAGGATCATGATTATAATGCTATCTGATAGACTACTATTGGTATAGTATTGCGTTTCAACATGTCCTCTTCAACCATATATTCTAGCATCAACGAGCTCATAAATGGTGTGTGATGGAATATGTGTTTGTGTTTGCAGGGTTTCAAACAGCTGCCCCAGACTGCTCATTAACCTGGAGAAAGCAGGCGGTGTAAGTCCTCTGTCCTTTCCCTGTCTATCTGTATTTGCATTAGACTTTCCTTCCTCTATTCACCTCTGTATTTTAACTTGTACATCTTTCTGTCTGTATCTCCCTGTAGGCAGATCCTCTGTTAGGGATGATAGGCATTGGCGGAGGGATGGACTTTGACTCAGAGAAAGCATACAGGTGTGAAGCTATCGCTTTCACTTGAACTACGATGATGATGGTGAAGATGGTGTTGGAAGTGTTGCTGATTAATATTAATTGGTTATGATTTGTCTCTCAGGGACGTGGCTCATATTAGTACATGTGATGATGGATGCTTGGCACTTGCTGACCTACTGGGCTGGAAGGTAAATATATTGTACATGCTTAGTAAATACCCATATTCTATGGACACAGTCATGATAAGAGTGCAACAGAGATTGTTGAATTAGATGAAAGTTAGTTGAAATCTTAAAGTAGTCTTTTTCTCTCTTTTTTCCTCTCACCACTCTCTCACTATCCCTCCCTCCATTATCTCTTTTTCTCGAAGGCGGAGCTGGAAGAGATGGTGAAACGGGAGCATGAGAAGATTAACAGCAAAGCCAAGGAGGAACAGGCCAATCAGAGCTCTGGAGCTGCTGGGAAGGCGGAGTCAGGGAAGGCGGAGTCAGGGAAGGCGGAGGCAGGGAAGACTAAGATAGAATAACCAATGAGACCGGCCGGCTCCAACCCATCACTCTAGGCTTCAGTCTGGAAGCAGAGTTGCATACAGTAACCAAGACTGTGCTCTTCAGTCTGTTTAACCAAGACTGTGCTCTACAGTCTGTTTTGGATTTTCTTCCTTTAGTTTGCACTTTACTAACTTCTCTCTCCTCTCCAACCTATGTTTGACATAAACCCACCTCCTGACTCCTACTGTGTGTATTGATCTGTCTTTTGACAGTTCCCACAAATGGAGTTTATAGCAATACACACTAAAACAAGCATACTTTTCCTTCTGTGGGAGAGAACTACAGACACTGTGCTGTCAGCTTGCCAACTAGCTCTGTTGAGTCAATTAGTTGATGAATATAGACGTTACAAAGTATAGAAGACATGGCAGGGTAGCAAAGATGATGAATGGCTGATTCATCCACTGATGCAGTGACACAACTACTGTAAATAGAAGGAAAAATATATATTATACAATTTTATGTCAATTACTATTTAGAATCGATTATAATTATGGATTTGTTTTTCATGACATTGGTTTCTGTGCTCCTTGTTTCTATGAATTGTTTTAATATAATTATTTTTAACAATGTGTTTTAATCTATTAAGCGTACCTGTGACATTTGGTTTCTTTACTTCCTGTGGATGTTGGCGTTGGGCGGTTTCTATTTCAGCACGAATTATGCAGCAGGAAGTTGCTACAGTGGTGTGACATGATGTCGCAGTACATCTGTGGTGTTGACCAAATGCAGCTCCATGCTTTCTAAAAGATTGCGTGTGATACTACAAGTAAAAACACAAAATAAAGTGGCAAAGTCTCCCACTGAAGTTGGTATTTTTCATGCACATACAGTAAGCATTGAGCTCAAACACAGCTCATACAACTGATGTTGATTAGTACAACTGATGTTCTCTGTGTTGGGTGCATGGGTTGTTTATTTCTATGTTGAATGTATTGTAGCCATGAGTTGAACAGAAAATACTATTGCACACTTACAGTACAATTAAAAGCCCACCTTTTATTCTCATGCAGCTTTGGACTGGCAGTGTCTGAATCCATTTTGTCTTGTGTTTTCATCTCTATAAAGTGCAACACTCAGATTTGTCTGTGGGTAAAAGAGAGAGAGATAAGCATTATTCAGGTCTTGAGAGTAAAGGCTAAGCAGACTCATTTCTTTCTATGTTAAATGTGTTAGCAAGGTTAACCACGTGAAGGGGGTGGGAGATGGAGGAGAGAGAGAATGAGAAATAAAAGTAGAGTGAGCGAGTGAAAGTGAAACATCAAATGTCAAGGTGTGTAGTTGACTGTGGTAGAGGCAGGTAAAGCATCGACACAAAATATACTTCTAACAGAACAGCGAAATACTTGTGTTGCTGAGGTATGAAATCTGCAGTAGACAAATGTTTTACCCTGTAATTTTCACCGATAACACAAATTGTTGAGCGACATAGTTAGAATGTGAGAGGACAGGTCTGTAGGCACAAGGTTACAACATGAAGAGATCTGTGGAGTTTCTGTTAGGCTGAAGGGGAGCCACATAAAGTCGCAGCTACTTTGACAAGCAGCCATAGGGGCCATTAACAGTAAGTAACCCTTTTTAATACATTTATTTCTCTGCTGGTTTCTCTCAAATCAACCTTAAAGGGTTAGTTCACCAAAATTACAAAATAATGTGTTTTGGGTGAACTATTCTTTTAAATGTTTGTTGAGGATGGATATAATCACTCTTCCATTCCAGAATAACTTGTTCAAATATTTGAATGTTCTTTTTTTCTAATGTTCTTTTTAAACATCTTTCATGTTGATATATTGGATTTGATCTTAATCCATATGCAGTTAGCATACACTAAACATTTTGTAGATTTTGCACAACTATGTTTCTGTGGTATCCTCTCTAGTCTGGGATGATGAGGGGATTGGAAGATCAGGATAAGAAGGATGAATCTCACAGGTGAGGATCTTTTGTACACCCCATGGATCGTTATTAGGGACCCACTCTGGGGGGTATATATCTCAGTTTTATACGAGCTCTGTGGCAGTTTTCAGGACACAGATTAAGCGTCGTCCTGGACTAAAAGGCATTTTAATTTTTTTATCTGTGTCCGGTAAACCTCCCCTGTATGCTGTAACAGCATATTATGGAGCCTATAACTACCCTGTTGTGTCATTATCTATAGAGGTGTGAGTGACACGGTGAGGACAGAGAATGAGGTTACTGATGGAGTTTTGCGGAGGCCCCTGACTCTACTGGACAGGTTGCGACTGTGTCAGGACGCCTGGGCCCCTGGGAACCCCTGGGATAGAGACGGGGCCCACGCTGCCCTCTGGGGCCGGCCTGCTGGGGTGAGTTCCCCCCCACTACCCTCTGTCTTTACACAGATCACTGTGTGCATCAGTCACAGTGTGTCCGTCCCAAATGGCACCCTATTCCCTATATAGTGCACTACTTTTGACCAGGGCCCATAGGGCTCTGGTCAAAAGTAGTGCACTATGTAGGGAATAGGGTGTCATTTGAGATGGACACACTGTGTAGGCCCATGCCACTATCTATTGTCTGACCTCATGGTTGACCTCTGCATTCAGGCCCTTAGGCCTAGCCTCCAGGTCACCTTGGTACATTGGGTTAGCATGTGAACAGGATGCGATATTACAGATAAATATGGAGGCAGACACTTACAGTATGTCGAGTTGCTCTTGTAGTTCCCTTTATCTAGCATAACAGCAAATTAATGCGGAAGTGCTGCATGTGTGAGAGAATAAGAAAGGAGAGATACAGATGGACTGAAAGAAAGAGGAGCAGACTGAGTAGTGGCGTAGAAGTTGATCGATGCAGAAAATATATTCGGTTTGCTAAAGAACCCCAGCTATCTTAAGGACCCTGTCTTAACAAGATCAACCACTGAGACAAGTGAGTATGGTGAGACAGTATCTGGATACAGCATCCTATTACACTGTGAGAACTACTATATGTCAGGGTTTAGGTTGAATTGGTGGGATAAGAAAAGCACTTTATATTTCAGAAATTATTCACACCCCTTGACTTTTTCTAAATGTTGTTGTGTTACAGCCTGAATTTTAAATGGATTAAATAAGAGATTTTTTGTCACTGACCTACACACAATGCCCCATAATGTCAAAGTGTAGTTATGTTTTTCGACATTTTTACAAATGTATAAAAAAATTATATACGCTGAAATGCCTTCAGTCAATAAGTATTCAACTCCTTTGTTTTGGCAAGCCTAAATAAGTTCAGGAGTTAACATTTGTTTAACAAGTTACATAATAAGTTGCATGAACTCACTCTGTGTGCAATAATAGTGTTTAACGTGATTTTTGAATGACAACCTCATCGCTATACCCCACACATACACTTATCTGTAAGGTCCCTGAATCGAGCAGTGAATTTCAAACACAGATTCACCCACAAAGACCAGGGAGGTTTTCCAATGCCTCGCAAAGAAGGGCACCTATTAGTAAATAGGATTTAAAAAAAAGCAGACATTGAATATCCCTTTGAGCATGGTGAAGTTATTAATTACACTTTGGATGGTGTATCAATACACCTAGTCACTACAAAGATACAGGCGTCCTTCCTAATTCAGTTGCCGGAGAGGAAGGAAACCGCTCAGGGATTTCACCATGAGGCCAGTGGTGACTTAAAAACAGTCACAGAGGTTAATGGCTGTGATAGAAGAAAACTAAGGATGGATCAACAACATTGCATTTACTCCACAATACTAACCTAATTGACAGAGTGAAAAGAAGGAAGCCTGTACAGAATAAAAATATTCCAAAACATGCATCCTGTTTACAGCAAGGCACTAAAGTAATACTGCTAAAAATGTGGCAAAGCAATTAACTTTGTCCAGAATACAAAATGTTATGTTTGGGGCAAATCCAATACACAAATTACTGAGTATTACTCTCCATATTTCCAAGCATAGTGGTGGCTGCATCATGTTATGGGTATGCTTGTAATCGTTATGGACTGGGGAGTTTTTCAGAATAAACAAAGAAACGGAATGGAGCTAAGCACAGGCAAAATGCTAGAGGGAAACCTGGTTCAGTCTGCTTTCCACCAGACACTGGGAGATTAATTCACCTTTCAGCAGGACAAGTGCCTAAAACACAAGGCCAAATCTACACTGGAGTTGCTTACCAAAAAGACAGTAATTGTTCCTGAGTGGCCAAGTTACAGTTTTGACTTAAGTCTACTTGAAAATCTATGCAAGACCTGAAAATAGCTGTCTAGCAATGATCAACAACCAATTTGACAGAGCTTGAAGAATTTGGAAAAGAATAATGGGCAAATGTTGCACAATCCCAGTGTGGAAAGCTCTTAGAGACTTACCCAGAACGACTCACAGTTGTAATAGCTGCCAAAGGTGCTATTGGCTCAGGTGTGTGAATACTTATGTAAATGAGATACTTTCAATAAATGTGCTAAAATATTTGTAAACATATTTTTACTTTGTGATTATGGGGTATTGTGTGTAGATCAGTGAGAATTTTTATTTATTTAATCCATTTTGAATTCAGTCTGTAACACAACAAAATGTGCAATAAGTCAAGGGGGATGAAAACATTCTGAAGGCACTGTGTATTCACTGTGAATGATGAAGTGAACAAAGGGGAGTTAATCTATCTTCTGCGGGTTTAGTTGACGATATGCATTGATATTTAGAGAACTTTATATTTAATATACAGTTGAAGTCGGAAGTTTACATACACCTTAGCCAAATACATTTAAACTCAGTTTTTCACAATTCCTGACATTTAATCCTAGTAAAAATTCCCTGTTTTAGGTCAGTTAGGATCATCACATTCCCAGTGGGTCAGAAGTTTACATACACTCAATTAGTATTTGGTAGCATTGCCTTTAAATTGTTTAACTTTGGTCAAACTTTTCGGGTAGCCTTCCACAAGCTTCCCACAATAAGTTGGGTGAATTTTGGCCCATTCCTCCTGAGAGAGCTGGTGTAACTGAGTCAGTTTGTAGGCCTCCTTGCTCGCACACGCTTTTTCAGATCTGCCCACAGATGTTCTATAGGATTGAGGTCAGGGCTTTGTGATGGCGACTCCAATATCTTGACTTTGTTGTCCTTAAGCCATTTTGCCATAACTTTGGAAGTATGCTTGTGGTCATTGTCCATTTGGAAGACCCATTTGCGACCAAGCTTTAACTTCCTAACTGATGTCTTGAGATGTTGCTTCAATATATCCACCTCATTTTCCTTCCTCATGATGCCATCTATTTTATGACGTGCACCAGTCCCTCCTGCAGCAAAGCACCCCCACAGCATGATGCTGCCACCCCTGTACTTCGTGGTTGGGATGGTGTTCTTCGGCTTGCAAGTAACCCCCTTTTTCCACCAAACATAACGAAGGTCATTATGGCCAAACAATTCTATTTTTGTTTCATCAGACCAGAGGACATTTCTCCAAAAAGTATGATCTTTGTCCCCATGTGCAGTTGCAAACCGTAGTCTGGCTTTTTTATGGCGGTTTTGGAGCAGTGGCTTCTTCCTTGCTGAGCGGCCTTTCAGGTTATGTCAATATAGGACTCGTTTTACTTCTGGATATAGATACGTTCCTCCAGCATCTTCACAAGGTCCTTTGCTGTTGCTCTGGGATTGATTTGCACTTTTCGCACCAAAGTACGTTCATCTCTTGGAGACAGAACGCGTCTCCTTCCTGAGCGGTATGACGGCTGCGTGGTCCCATGGTGTTTATACTTGCGTACTATTGTTTGTACAGATGAACATCGTACCTTCAGGCATTTGGAAATTGCTCCCAAGGATGAACCAGACTTGTGGAGGTCTACAATTTTTCTTTTGAGGTCTTGGCAGATTTATTTTGATTTTCCCATGATGTCAAGCAAAGAGGCACTGAGTTTGAAGGTAGGCCTTGAAATACATCCACAGGTACACCTCCAATTGACTCAAATGATGTCAATTAGCCTATCAGAAGCTTCTAAAGCCATGACATCATTTTCTGGAATTATCCAAGCTGTTTAAAGGCACAGTCAACTTCTGACCCACTGGAATTGTGATACAGTGAATTATAAGTGAAATAATCCGTCTGTAAACAATTGTTGGAAAAATTACTTGTATCATGCACAAAGTAGATGTCCTAACCGACTTGCCAAAACTATAGTTTGTTAACAAGACATTTGTGGAGTGGTTGAAAAACAAGTTTTAATGACTCCAACCTAAGTGTATGTAAACTTCCGACTTCAACTGTAGCTTGCGTTGCATCAAACTGCTGCTGCCTATAGTTTGTTTTTGACTTGACTCAAAGTGAACATACCAATGTGTCTCTCACTATCACAGTTAGGTATCTATTCCTGAACACACTGTTCATCAAACCCACTTCCTGTGATGTGTCTGTAGCCCTATTATGTGTGTGTGCGTGCTCACTTATTTCGCTGTGAGCTTTTGGTGCGTACGTGTATTTGAATGTGTGTGTATTATTTGCGCTTGCACATTCTCTGCCACTTAGTTAGCGTTGGTGTGAGGCTAGCCTGACTTGCTCACTTCTGTAGGCCTTGAATGACTGATCTACAGAAAAATGAGTAAGTCCATCTTGTCCTTTTCTGTGAAGCTGCTCTGCAGAATCACTGTTTCCTAACGCCCAAACACAGTGTAATGAGGCTTCTCATCACCTCTCTCTCCTTTCACAGAGCTTCCTGGTGTTGAGGGACTCTGCCTCCCAGCCCGTCCTGCTGTGTGTGTCCACTGGAGGAGGGAGTGGACATGTCAGAGACAACCCCATACAACACATTGGTGCAGGTAGGCAGGACACACAGACAAACACGCACACATTTACTGAATTACATTTACTGACCAGAACCTCAACAGCCGCACTTCATGCTTCCCTATTTTTAAGGTTAATCTCAAGTTCTTAGTTTGTTGTACGTCTTATAATAACCTCTCTCTTCTTGTCTCTCAGTTTATCAGCTATCTCAGTCATATTTAGGCTTCTCTGATCTGGCTCAGTTAGTGGTCTTCTACTCTCTGAGCAGGTGAGTTACAACAACCTACGGTATATATACTAACTACAGTATTTATCAGTTTTGCATCTGATATATATCATTAACTTCTCTTTCTCTCTCACTTTCTCTCTCTCTCTCTCTCTCTCTCTCTCTCACTCCATATCTCTCTCTCACTCCATATCTCTCTCTTGCTCTCTCTCTCTCTCTCTCACTCCATATCTCTCTCTCTCTCGCTCTCTCTCTCTCTCTCTCTCTCTCTCTCTCTCTCTCTCTCTCTCTCTCTCTCTCTCTCTCACACACTCCATATCTCTCTCTTGCTCTCTCTCTCTCTCTCTCTCTCTCTCTCTCTCTCTCTCTCTCTCTCTCTCTCTCTCTTTCTCTCTCTCTCAATTCAATTCAATTCAAGGGTCTTTATTGGCATGGGAAACATATGTTTACATTGCCAAAGTAAGTGAAGTAGATAATAAACCAAAGTGAAATAAACAATAAAAAATTAACAGTAAACATTACACTCACAAAAGTTCCAAAATAATAAAGACATTTCAAGTGTCATTATGTCTATATACAGTGTTGTAATGATGTGCAAATAGTACAAAAGGGAAAATAAATAAACATAAATATAGGTTGTATTTACAATGGTGTTTGTTCTTCACTGGTTGCCCTTTTCTTGTGGCAACAGGTCACAAATCGTGCTGCTTTGATTGCACACTGTGGTATTTCACCCAGTAGATATGGGATTTTATCAAAACTGGATTTGTTTTCGAATTCTTTGTGGGTCTGTGTAATCTGAGGGAAATATGTCTCTAATATGGTCATACATTTGGCAGGAAGTTAGGAAGTGCAACTCAGTTTCCACCTCATTTTGTGGGCAGTGTGCACATAGCCTGTCTTCTCTTGAGTCAAAGATTTCCTCAATTTTGGGTCATTCACAGTGGTCAGGTATTCTGCCACTGTGTACTATATGTTTAGGGCCAAATAGCATTCTAGTTTGCTCTGTTTTTTTGTAAATTCTTTCCAATGTGTCAAGTAATTATCTTTTTGTTTTCTCATGATTTGGTTGGGTCTAATTGTGTTGCTGTCCTGGGGCTCTGTGGGGTCTGTTTGTGTTTGTGAACAGAGCTGCAGGACCAGCTTGCTTAGGGGGCTCTTCTCCAGGTTAATTTCTCTGTAGGTGATGGCTTTGTTATGGAAGGTTTGGGAATCGCTTCCTTTTAGGTGGTTGTAGAATTTAACGGCTCTTTTCTGGATTTTGATAATTAGCAGGTATCGGGCTATTTCTGCTCTGCATGCATTATTTGGTGTTTTACGTTGTACATGGAGGATATTTCTGAGGAATTCTGCATGCAGAGTCTCAATTTGGTGTTTGTCCCATTTTGTGAATTCTTGGTTGGTGAGCAGACCCCAGACCTCACAACCATAAAGGGCAATGAGTTTTATAACTGATTCAAGTATTTTTAGCCAGATCCTAATTGGTATGTCGAATTTTATGTTCCTTTTGATGGCATAGAAGGCCCTTCTTGTCTTGTCTCTCAGATCGTTCATAGCTTTGTGGAAGTTACCTGTGGCGCTGATGTTTAGGCCGAGGTATGTATCGTTTTTTGTGTGCTCTAGGGCAACGGTGTCTAGATGGAATTTGTATTCATGGTCCTGGCAACTGGACCTTTTTTGGAACACCATTATTTTAGTCTTACTGAGATTTACTGTCAGGGCCCAGGTCTGACAGAATCTGTGCAGAAGATCTAGGTGCTGCTGTAGGCCCTCCTTGGTTGGGGACAGAAGCACCAGATCATCAGCAAACACTAAACATTTGACTTAAGATTCTAGTAGGGTGAGGCCGAATGCTGCAGACTGTTCTAGTGCCCTCGCCAATTCGTTGATATATCTGTTGAAGAGGGTGGGGCTTAAACTGCATACCTGTTTTTTGCCAAGTTTAATCGCACACTTGTTGTTTGTGTACATGGATTTTATAATGTCGTATGTTATCCCCCCCAACACCACTTTCCATCAATTTGTATAGCAGGCCCTCATGCCAAATTGAGTCGAAAGCTTTTTTGAAATCAACAAAGCATGAGAAGACTTTGCCTTTGTTTTGGTTTGTTTGTTTGTCAATGAGGGTGTGCAGGGCGAATACGTGGTCTGTCGTACGGTAATTTGGTAAAAAGCCAATTTGACATTTGCTCAGTCTGCTGTGTGTACGAGTCTGCTGTTAATGATAATGCAGAGGATTTTCCCAAGGTTGCTGTTGACGCATATCCCAAGGCAGTTATTGGGGTCAAATTTGTCTCCACTTTTGTGGATTGGGGTGATCAGTCCTTGGTTCCAAATATTAGGGAATATGCCAGAGCCGAGGATGATGTTAAAGAGTTTAAGTATAGCCAATTGGAATTTGTGGTCTGTATATTTTATCATTTCATTTAGGATACCATCAACCACACAGGCCTTTTTGGGTTGGAGGGTTTGTATTCTATAGATTGTTCAACTACATTGAGCTGATTTCTGACGTGCTGCTTCTTTTTCCCGTAGTGTATTTCTGTATTATTTTAGTGATTCACTATAGTGAAGGCGTAGGCTCAGGTTTTCTGGGTCTCTATGTTTTTGGTTTCTCAATTTCTTTCTTAGGTTTTTGCATTCTTCATCAAACCATTTGTAATTGTTGTTAATTTTCTTAGGTTGTCTGCTTGAAATGTTTAGATTTGATAGGGAAGCTGAGAGGTCAAATATACTGTTTAGGTTTTCTACTGCCAAGTTTACACCTTCATTATTACAGTGAAACATTTTGTCCAAGAAATTGTCTAGAAGGGATTGAATTTGTTGTTGCCTAATAGTTTTTTGGTAGATTTCCACACTACTAATTTGCTGTGATCTGATAGGAGTGTCAGTGGACTGACAGTGAACACTGAGACTCTGGGTTGAGGTCCGTGATAAAGTAGTCTACAGTACTACTGCCAAGACATGAGCTATATGTGTACCTGTCATAGGAGTCCCCTCGAAGCCTACCATTGACTATGTACATACCCAGCGTCCGACAGAACTGCAGGAGTTGTGACCCGTTTTTGTTGGTTATGTTGTCGTAGTTGTGTCTAGGGGGGCATATGGGGGAAGGAATGCTGTCACTTCCAGGTAGGTGTTTGTCCCTCTGTGTGCTGAGGATGTCAGGTTCTTGTCCAGTTCTGGCATTTAGGTCGCCACAGACAAGTACATGTCCCTGGTTTGGAAATGGTTGATCTCCCCGTCTAGGATGGAGAAGCTGTCATCGTTAAAGTATGGGGATTCTATTGGGGGGATATAGGTAGCACACATGAGGAAATTTTTCTCTGTTGAGAAGCCAGATGTAAAATGTTCCTGTTTTGACAAATGTAATAGAGTGGGTTAGGTCTGCTCTATACCAAATTGGCATACCCCCTGAGTCCCTTCCCTGTTTCACACCTGGTAGTTTGGTGGATGGGACTACCAGCTCTCTGTAACCTAGAGGGCAACCAGTGGGTCCGTCTCCTTTATGCCATGTTTCTTGTAGGATGACAATGTCTGTATTTCCAATTTCTTTGATGAAGTCTGCGTTCCTGCTCTTTAGGCCAAAGGCAGATGACCTCACACCTTGTATATTCCAGGATGAGATAGTAAAAGCTTTGTGTTCCATAGTGTCTAGTGTTGTTTTTGTGTGCAGGTCCTTCAGGAGGAGGTCTTGCAGGTCTGGGAGGGTGTCTCACTGGTCTAGGCGGGGTGTCCGTTGCTCTGTTGCTCCTGTGTGAGGTGCTGGGGCTACGGTTGAGGGTGACGTCCTTCAGGGTCCTGGCAAAAGTTGGGATCGCTGCCTTGTAGAGGTGGACCTGGTCGTAAAGGCTGTTCAAGTCCAGGGTGGAGTGGTTGGCCAGGTAGACATTAGGTTTTGAGGCACAGTCTCGCGAAATGCTTGCATTCACCTGCTGTATGGTGGCAGGGTGAACGTATTTTCGTGGGAGCAGGGTGGAGATAACCACTTGTGCGTTGGGGAAAGTGGAAGAAGCTTTTTTTGGGGGGGAACTCTCCTGCCATTGTAGCTTAGTAGCCTTACTTATTAAGCTTTATATAACAAAATTACCTAGAGATTATTGCCTTTTACTTCAGAAGTAGGTTCAGACTGAACATTACTCACTCAGTTTGGTGTTGGATGGTATTTCCAGGTTCCGCTGTGTTTCTTCTGCAGGTTTTGGTTTGTTATACGTTTTTTTTTCTTGATAGTCCTTGGTAGTAATAGTCCATTCAGGTAATTTTGTCAAAAATCAAGGTTTTATGGATGGAAATTAGATTTTGATTGAAGGTTTTAATGTTGAGGTTAGTATCCTGTATAAATCCTTGTGAAAAAATTCAAGTCTATCTAACTCTAATTCTATATTTTTGCAGAAGAACTCAGGAGCCCACACTACCTCTCTCTCTCTCTGTCTCTCTCAATTCAATCCAATTCAATTTGCTTTATTGGCATGACGTAACAATGTACATATTGCCAAAGCTTACTTTGGAGATTTACAATATTAACGTAATTAAAATAATAATAATCAATATTGTCAATGGGACAACAGTAACAACAATAATCAAGGGTCAAAATTACCATACATTGAACAATAACAATAAGCATAGTGGACATTTGCAGGTTGGTTGGTCTGTCAGACACTGTCCCTCATTTTATGGAAGGCAGCAATGTAGTGCGCTGCCAACCCACAGCTCTCTGCGTCCTCCCCCAACAGGACAGGTAGCCTATTCTCAGCAGAGAGGTCTTTGAAACCTTGAATAAGGGTGTCAAATTTGGGGAAATTACACTCTCTAATTGTTTTATATTTTTGACATTTTGTCAGGAAATGCAGCTCTGTCTCAGGTTCTGCTGTGGTGCAGTGGTTGCACAGCCTTTCCTCTACAGGGAGCCAGGTTTTCCTGTGTCTACCCTTCTCAATGGCAAGACTGAGCCTATACTTTGTCAAGGTTTTTCTAAGGTTTTGATCGTCTGTCTCTATCTCTATCTGTCTCACTCTTTCTCTCTCTCTCTCGTTCCATATCTCTCTATCTCTCTCTTTCTCTCTCTCAGGGACGTGTTGCCAGTGTGTCTGTTCATCCCTCCGTGGCTCTATAGTGTATCAGATCAGCCACAGTCCAGCAGTCTGTCCCAGCTGGGTCCCAGTAAGTCTGAATTCACCCTCTTCATCTCTCCTCTTCCTCACCCACGCTCTCTTCCACTTATCATCTTCCTTTCACTCCTCCTGCACAACTATCTCCTTGTCATCCATCCTAGTCACTTCATATCAAACGTCTCATCCTCTATGTGCTCCTCTTCTTACTCTACCTCCTCTTGACGACTACCATCTCATCATTCTAATGTTTGATCTCCTTTCCTCCCTCTCTTTTTGTGTATCTGTTTGTATATAGAGTCCTGGCTGTGTCCCACCACTGACCTCCAGCCTGATCACATGACTCAGAGGGCTCCTAGTACTGCCATGTGCACCATACAGGTAATCAGCAGTATTCATAGCTTCATAACATGTCTATAAAGGTTGGGACCTACACTACATGACCAAAAGTATGTGGACACCTGCTCGTCGAACATCTCATTCCAAAATCATGGGCTTTAATATGGAGTTGGTCCCCCCTTTGCTGCTATAACAGCCTACGCTCTTCTGGGAAGGTTTTCCTCTAGATATTGGAACATTGCTGCTGGGACTTGCTTCCATTCAACCACAAGCATTAGTGAGGTCGGCACTGATGTTGGGCGATTAGGCCTGGCTTGCAGTCAGTGTTCCAATTCATCCTAAAGGTGTTCAATGGGGTTGGGGTCAGGGCTCTGTGCAGGCCAGTCAAGTTCTTCCACACCGGCCTCCCAAGTGGCGCAGCGGTATAAGGCACTGCATCGGAGTACTTGAGGCGTCACTACAGACTCGGGTTCGATCCCAGGCTGTGTCACAGCCGGCCGTGACCGGGAGACCCATGAGGCGGCGCACAATTGGCCCAGCGTCGTCCGGGTTAGGGGAGGATTTGGCCGGCCGGGATTTCCTTGTCCCATCGCGCTCTAGCGACTCCTTGTGGCGGGCCGGGCACCTGCAAGCTGACTTCGGTCTCAAGCTGGATGGTGTTTCCTCAGACACATTGGTGCGGCTGGCTTCCGGGTTAAGTGAGCAGTGTGTCAAGAAGCAGTGTGGCTTGGCAGGGTCTTATTTCAGAGGATGCATGGCTCTCGACCTTCACCTCTCCCGAATCCGTAGGGGAGTTGCAGCGATGTGACAAGACTGTAACTACCAATTCGATATCACGAAATTAGGGAGAACATTTTTGAAATAAATAAAAAGAAATATTCCACACCGATCTCGACAAACCATTTCTGTATGGACCTCGCTTTGTTCACGGGGTAATTGTCATGCTGAAACAGGAAAGGGCCTTCCCCAAACTGTTGCCATAAAGTTGGAAGCGCAGAATCATCTAGGATGACATTGTATGCTGTAGCGTTAAGATTTCTCTTCACTGGAACTAAGGGGCCTAGCCCGAACCATGAAAATAGCCCCAGACCATTATTCCTCCTACACCAAACTTTGGCACTATGCATTCGGGCAGGTAGTGTTCTCCTGGCATCCGCCAAACCTGATTCGTCCATCGGACTGCCAGATGGTGAAGCATGATTCATCACTCCAGAGAACGTGTTTCCACTGCTCCAGAGTCCAATGGCAGCGAGCTTTGCACCACTCCAGCCGACGCTTGGAATTGCTCATGGTGATCTTAGGCTTGTGTGCGGCTGCTCGGCCATGGAAACCCATTTCATGAAGCTCCTGACGAACAGTTCTTGTGCTGACGTTGCTTCCAGAGGCAGTTTGGAACTCTGTTGTGAGTGTTGCAACCGAGGACAGATGGTTGCACTACGCGCTTCAGCACTCGGCGGTCCTGTTCTGTGAGCTTGCGTGGCCTACCACTTCACTGCTGAGCCGATGTTGCTCCTACACGTTTCCACTTCACAATAACAGCACTTACAGTTGACCAGGGCAGCTCTAGCAGGGCAGAAATTGGACGAACTGACTTGTTGGAAAGTGGCATCCTATGACGGTGCCACGTTGAAAGTCACTGAGCTCTTCAGTAAGGCCATTGTACTGCAAATGTTTGTCTTTGGAGATTGCATGGCTGTGTGCTCGAATTTATACACCTGTCAGCAGCAGGTGTGGTTGAAATAGCCGAATCCACTAATTTGAAGGGGTGTCCACATACTTTTGTATAAATAGGGTATTCACTATGTTGTATTCTGCTTTAACATGACGTAGTTAGAGAACCACTCTAGTGGATGTGTTGCCATGGTTTGACATGTGATTCACATTGAAAAGCAGAGGTCTGCTCCAAGGTTTTCCTAGTGCTTTGTAATGTTATCCCAGTCAAGTGTCACTCTCAGCATCATAGATGAGTTGAGGTGTACCTCAGTTCAGACTGACGTCACGACTCCTTTTGCTCTTCAGTCGAATATCTTACATTTTAATACTGTATTTCCTTTTTCAAATCTATATAGGTTTTAAAGGCCCAGTGCAGTCAAAATTATGTTTTTCTTGTGTTTTGATATCATATTGTACATCAGCTGAAGAAGCTAACACTGTAAAAGTGTGAAGAAATTATATCAGTAGCTAGGTTTCCATCCAATTAGCGAATATTCTAGAATCTGCATCAAGAAAATATGTGCATTTTCCCACCAGTGGTGTGTTTCCACCAAACGGACTTGTTGTGAATAGAAATCAGTGTGCGATGACATAGTGCACACAATGTACTTTTTCGCTTAAGTTTTCATTTACAGAATAAAAATCTAAAGTTCAATGTGCTTCCATCACATTTTCAACTCTATCGATAGTTTTGTCACAAAAATTGTTGCGTTAAATAGCAAATATGCCTACTTTGGTCTTGGCATGTGCGCAATATCCAACAGCTCGCAGAGACTGTGGTAGTCTACATGATGAGATTATTATGGATAAGAGCGAGTATGTTTTTATTTGTCAAATGGCAGTCAAGCATTGATCATCATGTCACCAGAATAAGACCCTCGATATTTATTGGAAAGGAGCATCAAGCTCATCACCGTGCACTTTCACCACCCTGTGAAGTTCATCATAACTTATTTTATCTGTAGCCTAATAAACTGCATGGTTTCCAGAGTCATTGTGGGAGGACCACATACAGTTAAAGTCAGAAGTTTACATATACTTAGGTTGGAGTCATTAAAACTCATTTTTCAACCACTCCACAAAATTCTTGTTAACAAACTATAGTTTTGGCAAGTCGGTTAGGACATCTACTTTGTGCATGACACAAGTAATTTTTCCAACAATTGTTCACAGACAGATTATTTCACTTATAATTCACTGTATTACAATTCCAGTGGGTCAGAAGTTTACATACACTAAGTTGACTGTGCATTTAAACAGCTTGGAAAATTCCAGAAAATTATGTCATGGCTTTAGAAGCTTCTGATAGGCTAATTGACATCATTTGAGTCAATTGGAGGTGTACCTGTGGATGTATTTCAAGGCCTACCTTCAAACTCAGTGCCTCTTTGCTTGACATCATGGGAAAATCAAAATAAATCTGCCAAGACCTCAAAAGAAGAATTTTAGACCTCCACAAGTCTGGTTCATCCTTGGGAGCAATTTCCAAATGCCTGAAGGTACCACGTTCATCTGTACAAACAATAGAACGCAAGTATAAACACCATGGGACCATGCAGCCGTCATACCGCCCAGGAAGGAGACGCGTTTTGTCTCCTAGAGTTGAACTTACTTTGGTGCGAAAAGTGCAAATCAATCCCAGAACAACAGCAAAGGACCTTGTGAAGATGCTGGAGGAAACCGGTACAAAAGTATCGTTATGTTTGGAGGAAAAAGGGGGTGGCTTGCAAGCCGAAGAACACCATCCCAACCATGAAGCACGGGGGTGGCAGCATCATGCTGTTGGGGTGCTTTGCTGCAGGAGGGACTGGTGCACTTCACAAAATATGTGGCATCATGAGGAAGGAAAATTATGTGGATATATTGAAGCAACATCTCAAGACATCAGTCAGGAAGTTAAAGCTTGGTTGCAAATGGGTCTTCCAAATGGACAATGACCCCAAGCATACTTCCAAAGTTATGGCAAAATGGCTTAAGGACAACAAATTCAAGGTATTGGAGTTGCCATCACAAAGCCCTGACCTCAATCCTATAGAAAATTTGTGGGCAGATCTGAAAAAGCGTGTGCGAGGCCTACAAATTGACTCAGTTACACCAGCTCTCTCAGGAGGAATGGGTCAAAATTCACCCAACTTATTGTGGGAAGCTTGTGGAATGCTACCCGAAACGTTTGACCCAAGTTAAACAATTTAAAGGCAATGCTACTAAATACTAATTGAGTGTATGTAAACTTCTGACCCACTGGGAATGTGATGAAAGAAATAAAAGCTGAAATAAATCATTCTCTCTGTCAGTGGGTGCTGTAGGTGGGTGTGGTGCAGGAATCAGATGCAGGACGCAGAAAATAAGTCCAATAGACTTTAGTGAAAAGCACACTCAAAATAACGAGTCAAACGCCCGGAGGCGAGAAAGTCCGCACACAGGCGAAAACCAAAAGGCGCACAAAACAGTGCGTAAATAACCTCCTAACACAGAGGAGGAAAATGAACGAAATGCACAAGGCAACAATAGCGCACAAACACGACAGCGAAACAATCACACACAAACACAGACACACAACGAGAACTAAATAGAACACTAACGAGGACTAACTAGACACAGGTGTACAACATCAAGACCAAACCAAACGAACATGAAACATAGATCGGTGGCAGCTAGTACTCCGGAGACGACGACCGCCGAAGCCTGCCTGAACCAGGAGGAGGAGCAGCCTCGGCCGAAACCGTGACAGTACCCCCCCCCTTGACGCGCGGCTCCAGCCGTGCGCCGACCCCGGCCTCGGGGACGACCAGGAGGACGCGGAGCAGGGCGCGCGGGATGGTCCCGGTGGAACTCCGACAGGAGAGATGGGTCTAGGATGTCCCTCCGCGGCACCCAGCACCGCTCCTCCGGGCCGTACCCCTCCCACTCCACGAGATACTGGAGACCCCCCATCCGGCATCTGGAGTCCAAGATGGACCGAACGGTGTACGCCGGAGCCCCCTCGATGTCCAATGGGGGCGGAGGAGTCTCTCCTATCTCATTGTCCTGGAGTGGACCAGCTACCACCGGCCTGAGAAGAGACACATGGAACGAGGGGTTAATATTCTTATATTCAACAGGTAGATTTAACCTATAACACACCTCGTTCAATCTTCTCAGGACTTTAAAGGGCCCCACAAACCGCCGACCCAGCTTCCGGCAGGGCAGGCGGAGGGGTAGGTTTCTGGTAGAGAGCCAGACTCGATCTCCGGGTGCGTACACCGGCCCCTCACTGCGGTGGAGATCGGCGCTCGCCTTGTGACGAAGGACGGCCCGCTGCAGGTGGACGTGGGCAGTGTTCCACGTCTCTTCCGAGCACCTCATCCAATCATCCACCGCAGGGGCCTCGATCTGGCTCTGCTGCCACGGTGCCAGAACCGGCTGGTAACCTAATACACATTGGAAAGGGGTTAGGTTAGTAGAGGAGTGGCGGAGAGAGTTCTGGGCCATCTTGGCCCAGGGAATGTAACGCGCCCACTCCTCAGGCCGGTCCTGGCAATACGACCTCAGAAACCTACCCACATCCTGGTTGACACGTTCTACCTGCCCGTTACTCTCCGGGTGGTACCCCGAGGTAAGGCTAACCGAGACCCCCAAACGCTCCATAAACGCTCTCCACACACGGGAGGTAAACTGGGGGCCTCGATCAGACACTATATACTCGGGGACCCCGTAATGCCGGAAGACGTGGGTAAATAGGGCCTCAGCGGTCTGTAGGGAAGTAGGAAGACCCGACATAGGGAGAAGACGACAGGCCTTAGAGAACCGGTCCACAACGACCAGGATGGTGGTATTCCCCTGAGAGAGGGGAAGGTCTGTTACAAAATCCACCGAGAGGTGGGACCATGGTCGTTGTGGAACGGGTAGGGGCTGTAACTTACCCCTGGGCAGATGTCGGGGCGCCTTACACTGGGCGCACACTGAGCAGGAGGAGACGTAAACCCTCACATCCCTAGCCAAAGTAGGCCACCAGTATTTAGTGCTAAGGCAATGCACTGTCCGGCCAATACCCGGATGTCCAGAGGAGGGTGACGTGTGAGCCCAGTAGATGAGTCGATCCCGAATCTCGAGCGGAACGTACTTCCGACCCTCAGGACATTGTGGAGGGCTGGGGTCGGTACGCAACGCTCGCTCGATCTCGGCATCGACCTCCCACACCACCGGTGCCACAAGGCAAGACTCCGGTAGTATGGTAGTAGGCTCAACGGACCTCTCCTCCGTGTCATACCGCCGGGACAGTGCATCTGCCTTGCCATTCTGGGACCCAGGGATGTACGTGATTTTAAATACGAACCTGGTGAGAAACATACTCCATCGAGCCTGGCGAGGGTTCAGTCTCCTCGCTGCCCGGATGTACTCCAGGTTCCGATGGTCAGTCAAAATGAGGAAAGGGTGTTGAGCCCCCTCAAGCCAATGCCTCCACACCTTAAGGGCCTGAACTACAGCTAACAGCTCCCTGTCCCCAACGTCATAGTTACGCTCCGCCGGGCTGAGCTTTTTGGAGTAAAAGGCACAGGGGCGGAGTTTAGGTGGCGAGCCGGACCGTTGAGAGAGCACGGCCCCTATACCAGCCTCAGACGCGTCCACCTCAACCTGAAAGGGAATTGTGGGATCCGGATGCGCCAGCACCGGAGCCGACGTAAACAGGTCCTTCAGTCTCCCAAAGGCCCTGTCCGCATCAGCTGACCACTGCAGGCGCACCGGACCCCCTTTCAGAAGGGACGTGATGGGAGCTGCCACCTGTCCAAAACCCCGGATAAACCTCCGGTAGTAATTCGCAAAGCCCAAGAACTGCTGCACCTCTTTTACAGTGGTTGGAGTTTGCCAATTACGCACAGCGGACACACGATCCACCTCCATTCTCACCCCTGACGCGGACAACCGATAACCCAAAAAGGAGACCGACTCCTGGAAAAACAGAAATTTCTCTGCCTTGACATATAGGTCGTGCTCCAACAGCCTCCTCAATACACGTCGCACCAGGGTTACATGCTCGGTTCGGGTAGACGAGTACACCAGAATATCATCAATGTACACGACCACCCCTTGTCCCTGCATATCCCGGAAAATGTCATCTACGAAGGATTGAAAGACTGATGGAGCATTCATCAACCCATATGGCATGACAAGATATTCGAAATGACCTGACGTGGTACTAAACGCTGTCAGAGGGAGTGGATAACTGTATTTCACAGTAATCTGATTGAGACCACGGTAATCAATGCACGGGCGCAACCCTCCATCTTTCTTTTTCACAAAAAAGAAACTCGAAGAGGCGGGGGAAGTGGAAGGCCGGATGTATCCCTGTCTCAAAGATTTGGCTATGTAAGTCTCCATAGCTTTTCTCTCCTCTTGAGACAAAGGATACACATGGCTCCGTGGGAGCGCTGCTCCTGCCTGGAGATCAATCGCACAATCCCCCTGTCTATGGGGAGGCAACTGCGTCGCCCTAGTTTTGCTAAACACAAGAGCTAAATCCCCATATTCAGGCGGAATGTGCAGTGCGGGCACTTGGTTTGGACTTTCCACCGAAGTCGCCCCCACGGAAACACCCAGACATCGCCCCTCACACTGAACAGACCACCCATCGAGAGCCCTCTGTTGCCACGAAATAGCAGGGTTATGGGTGCTTAACCAGGGAATTCCCAGCACCACTGGGTACGCAGGAGAGTCGATCAGATACAGCTGTATAGTCTCTTCATGACCCCCCTGCGCACACATCCTAAGTGGCGCTGTGACTTCCCTGATCAACCCCGACCCCAACGGGCGGCTATCTAAGGCATGAACGGGAAAAGGTTTGTCAACAGGTAGGAGAGGGATCCCTAACTCTAAACAAAACTTTCGATCAACAAAATTCCCAGCTGCGCCTGAATCTACTAGCGCCTTATGCTGGGAATGAGGTGCAACCTGTGGAAAACCAACAGGTATACAAAAGTGCGCAACAGAAAGCTCTGGGTAAGTGGGGCGTCTACTCACCTGGGAGGCCCCCCCAGTGCGTGGCCTGTTGTCTTCTCCCCCTGGAGAACCCTCCCCAGCACCTGGCCGCAGTGTGCCCTCCACGACCGCACTTGGTGCAGGAGACAGGCCCCCCGGGCTCCTCCTCCTCCGTTCTCTAGCGCCGGCACCCCCGAGCTCCATAGGGCTCGGCTCGGAGGTGCCGGAGGGCGGAATGGACGGACCCCCCTCGGGACGTCCACGGGTGGCCAGCAGGGTGTCTAAACGGATGGACAGATCAACCAACTGGTCGAAAGTCAGATGGGTATCCCTGCAGGCCAACTCTCGTTGAACGTCCTCCCGGAGGCTACACCGAAAATGGTCGATGAGAGCCCGTTCATTCCACCCTGCATCCGCCGCTAGAGTCCGGTACTCTAAAGCAAACGCCTGTGCGCTCCTCCTCCCCTGTCTCAAGTGGACTAGCCGCTCCACCGCCGCTTTGCCCTCAGGTGGATGGTCAAACACGGCCTTGAAGCGGCGGGAGAACTCGGCGTAGGAGATGGTGTTGGCGTCCATCTTCCTCCACTCAGCGTTAGCCCACTCCAACGCCTTTCCCGAGAGACAGGAGATGAGGGCGGAAACGCTCTCGTGTCCCGAGGGGCACCGGGTGTACAGTGGCCAGGTAGAGCTCCACCTGCAGGAGGAACCCCTGACACCCGGCAGCTGTTCCGTCATACGCCCTCGGGAGCCCTCGGGAGCGAGAGCCGAATCCTTCTGGGTTCCGGACATGGGACTGGTGGACCGGCCGATGGGGTGGGCAGGGTAGGTGGAGGTGTGGGTACCCTGCTGGCTTCCCATCGGTGCAGGGTGTTGATCACGTCCTGTAGAGCGGTCTCCAGTTGTCTTATCTGGCCATCTTGCCAATGGATATGCTCCTCAAGCGACACAGGTGTCACGGCCGATCCTGCTGATTCCATTATGGTGTGTGATTCTGTCAGTGGGTGCTGTAGGTGGGTGTGGTGCAGGAATCAGATGCAGGACGCAGAAAATAAGTCCAATAGACTTTAGTGAAAAGCACACTCAAAATAACGAGTCAAACGCCCGGAGGCGAGAAAGTCCGCACACAGGCGAAAACCAAAAGGCGCACAAAACAGTGCGTAAATAACCTCCTAACACAGAGGAGGAAAATACGAAATGCACAAGGCAACAGTAGCGCACAAACACGACAGCGAAACAATCACACACAAACACAGACACACACAACGAGAACTAAATAGAACACTAACGAGGACTAACTAGACACAGGTGTACAACATCAAGACCAAACCAAACGAACATGAAACATAGATCGGTGGCAGCTAGTACTCCGGAGACGACGACCGCCGAAGCCTGCCCGAACCAGGAGGAGGAGCAGCCTCGGCCGAAACCGTGACACTCTCTACTATTATTCTGACATTTCACATTCTTAAAATAAAGTGGTGATCCTAAGTGACCTAAGACAGGGAATTTTTACTAGGATTAAATGTCAGGAATTGTGAAAAACTGAGTTTAAATGTATTTGGCTTAGGTGTATGTAAACTTCCGACTTCAACTGTATGTGACTACAAGTTTACTTCAATATGAAAGTTATAATATCAATATTTGCGTATAAAGGCGTTTTCACCGCCATTTCTCGCATAATTAATTTTACAGACACAAAAAAAATCCACTATGTCGAAAGAATGATCTCTCTGCATTTTAAAGGTTGTACCGGAACTTCCTGTTTCCATCACAGCTGTCGTTACTTTTTTTTTTATACGGTATGACTTTACTCACATAAAAACTGTGGAAGGAAACATTGTTAGTGTTATTTCCTGATAGTTGCTGGCTCCCATACACAGGATGCATGGGTGGAGTTTTGGCTTGCCTGGTGACATCTCCAGGCAGTATAATGTGTAATAGACCAATCACAAAGAGAGTTCCAAACCTCTGCCAATAACCTCTCTCCCATTAGGCCCCCGTCCTCCACTTTAGTGCCCTTCCCCTCCCAACTCAGACCTCTCCCAGACAATCCTAGCAAAATTCTTGATTGAGAAAGATTTCTTTGCTAAAAAGCTATTTTTGTTTATTTTTGACCATTTTAATGGAAAACTACTACAGTAAGGTATTTATTTGTTACCCAGAAATGATTTGATATTGAGATAAAAACAACCTTTAATACTGAAACCATTATATTGTATCAAGTTCAAATCATTCTCCAATGATAATTTTACATTTTCGGAAAGATCCTCATGTGCCTCAATACACAGTCAAGCTCCCTCTCGATTGTGTCTTCTGTTCAATAGCTGACAGCAGCCAATGGTGCTCTGTGCATCATCAACCCACTCTATCTCCATGAGCATGGCGATGACTGGCTGACGCATCAACCAACCAGCTCACAGCGAGTTAATCGGCCATCCAATTATAGGCATGAGAGACGACTGAGTACAACGAGACCTTGGTCAGGGGCGGGCCTTCTTACTAAGAGAGCTATTTCATTGGAGCAGGAGCCCTGCAGCTCCAGTCCTGATAATCCAGGTAAAGTGATTTTAATTTTTAAGGCCCAGTGTTGTCAAAAACATGATTGGAATAATACTGTGAAATTGTGAAAATTATGATAATGCCCTTTTAGTGTAATTGAGATTTTTTTTTTTTTTTTAACGACTGCATTGGACCCTTTTAATGTGTTTTATTATCATTGTCCATCCTGTCTGTGTGAAAATATCACCGCATTAATCATCCTTCTCTCTGTAGGAGGTAATGAGACATCATAGAGCTCACTAGCCATTATGCCAAAACCAAAATCAACCAACGACTAACTGATATAGTGCATTCGGAAAGTATTCAGACCCCTTGACTTTTTCCACATTTTGTTAGGTTACAGCCTTATTCTAAAATTGATTAAATTGTATTTATTCCCTCAGCAATCTACACACAATACCCCATAATGACAAAGCAAAAACAGTTTTTTCTATTGTTTTGCTAAAAAAAAAAAAATAATACAATGAAATATCACATTTACATAGGTATTCAGACCCTTTACTCAGTACTTTGTTGAAGCACCTTTGGCAGCGATTACAGCCTAGAGTCTTCTTGGGTATGACGCTACAAGCTTGGCACACCTGTATTTGTTTCTCCCGTTCTTCTCTGCAGATCCTCTCAAGCTCTGTCAGGTTGGATGGGGAGCGTCGCTGCACAGCTATTTTCAGGTCTCTCCAGAGATGTTCGATCGCGTTCAAGGCTGGGCTCTGGCTGGGCCACTCAAGGACACTCAGAGACTTGTCCCGAAGCCACTCCTGCGTTGTCTTGGCTGTGTGCTTAGGGTCGTTGTCCTGTTGGAAGGTGAACCTTCGCCCCAGTCTGAGGTCCTGAGTGCTCTGGAGTAGGTTTTCATCAAGGATCTCTCTGTACTTTGCTCCGTTCATCTTTCCCTTGATCCTGACTAGTCTCCTAGTCCATGCCGCTGAAAAACATCCCCACAGCATGATGCTGCCACCACCATGCTTCACCGTAGGGATGGTGCCAGGTTTCCTCCAGACGTGACGCTTGGCATTCAGGCCAAGAGTTCAATCTTGGTTTCATCAGACCAGAGGATCTTGTTTCTCATGGTCTGAGAGTCCTTTTGGCAAACTCCAAGCGGGCTGTCATGTGCCTTTTACTGAGGAGTGGCTTCCGTCTGGCCACTCTATCATAAAGGCCTGATTTGGTGGAGTGCTGCAGAGATGGTTGTCCTTCTGGAAGGTTCTCCCATCTCCAAAGAGAAACTCTGGAGCTCTGTCAGAGTGATCATTGGGTTCTTGGTCACCTCCCTGACCAAGGCCCTTCTCCCCCGATTGCTCAGTTTGGCCGGGTGGCCAGCTCTAGGAAGGGTCTTGGTGGTTCCAAACTTCTTCCATTTAAGAATGATGGAGGCCACTGTGTTCTTGGGGACCTTCAATGCTGCAGAAATATTTTGGTACCCTTCCCCAGATCTGTGCCTCGACACAATCCTGTCTCAGAGCTCTACGGATAATTCCTTTGACCTCATGGCTTGGTTTTTGCTCTGACATGCACTGTCAACTGTGGGACCTTATATAGACAGGCGTGTGCCTTCCCAAATCATATCCAATCAATTTACTTTACCACAGGTTGACTCCTATCAAGTTGTAGAAACATCTCAAGGATGATCAATGGAAACAGGATGCACCTGAGCTCAATTTCGAATCTCATAGCAAAGGGTCTGAATACTTATGTAAATAAGGTTTTTTATTTGTAATACATTTGCAGAAATTTAAAAAAAAACTGTTTTCGCTTTGTCATTATGGGGTATTGTGTGTAGATTCATGAGGGAAAAAAAATATTTTAATCCATTTTAGAATAAAGCTGTAACGTAACAAAATGTGGAAAAGGGGAAGGGGTCTGAATACTTTCCGAATGCACTATATGTTTGGTCTTGTCTCCAGGGTCTCCTGTAGTCCAGGCTTCCCCGTCTCCCCCCACCCCAACAGGAGGGGTGGTTCTGAGGAGGCCCAGTAGGGATGCTTCCATTGAGTCACTCCACAGAACAGGGAGCCAGGACCGCACTAACACCTCCAGGCCCCCGTCAGACCCCAAGCCCCTGTTCAGCCCTGCCCCGCAGTCCCCTCACAGGGTGTCCTGGATTGAGGACAATGTATGGCTCTCCAAACCACCACCCTCCTCCCTCCTCCGTCCCCCCTCCCTGGAGCTGGACTCGCTGTCAATCAGCAGCATTGAGGAGGAGCCGGAGTCGGTCACCAGCCCCTCCCACTCCCCCCACCCCTCGTATCGGTTGGCCGACAAGGTGAAGCACCGCCTCTCGGCTGTGGGCCTGGCCATTGGTGGGCTGGGGTCTCCACAGAAGAGGCTGACCAAGCGGGTGCAGGAGCTCAGTAAGCGGAGGGGCGGGGTATTTGCAGAGGCAGTGCTGGAATTCGTTGAGATGACCCTAGGGGCTGGGTTTACCCCTGGAATGACAGGTGTGGATTTGCTTCAGGAGGTGCGTACGGCTCTCACTGCCCTGAGAGAGACACTGCTGGACTGTCCCGAGATACACATCTTCATAGACAGTATGGCCGACACACCCAACTGGGAGCTGGGTGAGTCCATGCATTAACAAATTAGTGTTCGAAAACAGAATATCACTGCTATTATACAAAAAAACTTTTCAGCTTTAGTTCACTATCCACCACAAAGCCAAAACGGACAAACACTCAACTACATCATTTTCCAGAATTGTTTTCTAACACCTCAGTCTCTCCCTCTCTCTGTCCTCTATCTACATTAGACGCCATACTGGAGCTCTCCCTACACAAGGTGGCCCTGAAGCCTGTGAGCTCCCACCTGTACACCTGCCTCCAGAGCTGTCGGGACCATGACGGTAGCCTGCGGAAGCTGAGGGAGAACCAGCGGGTCCTGGAGGGCCGGGGGGTGGAGGAGCTGGAAGGGACGCCTGGGGCGGGGGTCCCTGACCCTGTCACCCTGGAGAAGATCCAGCAGAGGTGGTCAGCCATGCACCAGTCCTACTCCCCCAGCAGGAAGGTCCATATCATGCTCAAGGTCTGCAAGACCATCTACCACAGCATGACAGCCAATGCCAACCCAGGTGGGTGGTGCAGGGTAGACCTCCTCAGCCTCAGTATGTGGAGTGAATGGAGTTGGTTAGGGTTAGTGTATTTCTCTCTCTTTCTTTAGGTATGGTGAAATTAGGTGGAAAATCTGTCGATGTGCCCTTGAGCAAGGCACTTAACCCTAATTGCTCCTGTAAGTCGCTCTGGATAAGAGCGTCTGCTAAATGACTAAAATGTAAATGTAAACTCTCTATTAAGGATGATGTTTGGAGTTCTTTGACTTTTGACTCCCTCCTCCCCTCTGTCTCAGGTGTAGTGTACGGGGCTGATGACTTCCTGCCCTGTCTGACCTGGGTGCTTCTGCGTAGTGATGTGGTCACTCTGCAGCTGGACACTGACTACATGATGGAGCTACTGGACCCCACACAGCTGCAGGGAGAGGGTACGAATTATACAAACGTTTCACGCAGACCCACAGAAACATGTATGTGCACATGGACACTCGTATAGTAACCCCCTTTCTGTCTCTGTTTCTCTCTCTCTCTACCTCTGTCTCTCTATTTTGCAGGAGGTTATTACTTGACGTCCCTGTACGCTTCTCTCTTCTACATCAGCAGCTTCCGCCCTCGTCTCGCCACGCGCCAGCTTAGCACCGAGGCCCAGAAATCCCTGAGCCAATGGCATCGCAGGCGCACCCTGCACTGCAACCAATCACGACGCAGCACAAATCGGAGGACCCTCCGGAGACCTGGGCATGGCGAGAAGGGCAGGGAAAACTCCTGTGATGCAGAGACGGAAACTGGCACAGGAAGTGTAACTGACGCCCCACCGGCGCCCTCTAGTGTTGTGGCCAAGGCACTGCACATAATCTCAGAGGTTGTGGTAGCGGCGAGGGAGGAGGGGGGCAGCAGAGCGGAGGGCCAAGGATCCCCAGCTGCACAACTCCAGGCCTCACCTAGGAAGGAGAGACAGGACTCAGGTTAGTCTCCACAGGGTCCATGAGGCACTCTGCGCCAGGCCAGTAGAGCTGGAAGACCGGACAGACACACAGATGGGTCAGCAGAGGTCAGAGAGGACTGGGCTGCCAGTGGGAGACTGAAGCCAGAGTGATGAAGCCAGAGAGATGAAACAGAGGAGCCAGTCTGTCTAGGACCCTGGGCTTTACCGCAAACACTTAGCTGGCAAACATGGAGTCGCCTTCTCAATATTGTAATGCAAACTTGTTATGCAAAACATTTTATTTTACAATTCCTGGTTTCAGTTGCATTGAATTACACCCAATAAGACATGAAGATAATGGTCTGATTAGGCTGAATTTGGGTAATATGATAATGTGCTTTAAATTGTTTAATAATATAATAATATAATATGCCATTTAGCAGACGCTTTTATCCAAAGCGACTTACAGTCATGCGTGCATACATTCTTTTTTTGTGTATGGGTGGTCCCGGGGATCGAACCCACTACCTTGGCGTTACAAGCGCCGTGCTCTACCAGCTTGTGGAAGATATTTCCAATGAGTGTTGCAAATTGTGACATTTGTAGTATTTTTATTGTCATTCCTTAGAGAAATTACTCTCAATGGGGCCAATTAAATGGTCAAATTGGGGCAAAGCATGGAGGCTTTCAGCAGGCTGCCTCCATGGTTAGAAAACTGTTGATGTATTTTCCATGTTGACCACTAGGTTGCAGTACCACATCTCTTTTGTCGGTTTCCTCTGGGTTGCAGTAGTCAAGCATGATAACAGTGGAGCTCATAAGTGCATAAGGATGTTGAGAAAGGGAGAGAAATGTGTTGAGATGCCTGAATTAACAGCTATAATGAAATGACAGTTGATCAGATTGTATTATGTTGTGTGTAATATGTACTCTGTTTTTGTGTAATATGTACTCTGTTTTTAACTTCATTTTGTCCTTTTCATCTGCATTCTTTTTGCCATGCTTTAGGATGCTGAAATGTGAAATTATATGTTGTATGTTGGCATACTGTAAAGACAGCATTATAGACATCTGCACATTAGAACACTTTGATGCTAAAGCGTGAACAGTGGAGCAGACAGGTCCTTATACAAGCACATGTATTACCATACACAGACACATGGTACCACTACCACATACACAGACAACACACAAACAAGCCCCCACACACACACATGGGCATACTGTAATATATACATACACATGCAAATACTTATATAGAGTGCCTCAAATGCAAATAAACGCACACACACGTACCCTCCCATACTTTCATACATATGGAACCGCCTCATTCAGAATTTTAAATGAGCAACCTAATCAAATTTGCCTAATGAGACATCTGGCATTATGCCTGCATTTGGATCTTTTAACCAGGTCTAAGAAACATCTGGACTCTTCATCAGCCCAGTCAAACCTGATGAGAGAGAGACTGATGGAGGGACAGTGGCTGAGACTTAACATCTATTGCACACACCGCTTACATATATGATCACGTGATATATTATGCATACATGGGACTATATTACACATTCAGTCCAGCCATAAATTAGATATATGGTGGTGGCGAGCACACAGATGGCAGACGCCTGAGGCATTTAAAGCTGGGACTTCGCTAGCTAGCTGCAGTTAAATATAGAGGCCATCCTGATGCAGAGTGAGAGAAAGAGAGAGAGAGAGAGAAAAAGATGGTCACACAAAGATACCCACTCACACGCAGGCGCACACACACACTCACAAAGTACATGCACATCCAAGCACAAGGAAACACCAGGACAATATACAGTCACACATACTTAAAAACATGAATATTCACACTAACAGTATATCACAAACACTTGTTCTTCACACTAGATGTATGCCTGGTGTGTGTTCCCCCCTCCCCCTTGATTGACAGGCATCTAACGAGCAGCTGTTCTAATGGGCCTGGCAGCCTCTCCTAATAGTGATAAATAGATGAGAGGCATTTGTGAATCAGGACCAAACACTTTTCAATCAATTATTCACAACATTACTCCAATTTATGCATCATCAGGCTGTTACACATCCTGGCTGTTCCCAGGCTGGAAACAGTATTTGAACTCTGTGGTAAATTACAGTAGGAGCAACCAACTCTGGTTTTCCTTCTCTCCGGCTGACTGATAAAATGGTTCCTTTCTACATCGTCCTGCATGAGTTTTAATGAAGGCTTGTGAAAGCGAGCGGCGCGTCATCGTTGGATCCTGACCTGTCTGCTCTGTCTATGGTCGTTCCATATGGGACATCACGTCACCGAGCTGCACTGTCTGTCAATGTCTCTCTGGCCTCCACTCTTTTTTAGTTTGTCCTTTTGTGCTATTCTGCTCTTTCACTCGTTGTCACAAACCGCTTCCCCCTGTTGAGGCATTGTAGTTGGCCACTTTTCCTCTAGCTTTCTCTCACTCTCTCTTTCTCTCCCGCTCCTCCCCCCTGTGCGCAGCTCTCTCCCCCTTGTCTGAACTCTGACAGGTGTGTAATTGAATGATTAATTATCACCAGAGGCCCTCCTCCTCCACACACACAAACACACGCGCACACACATTCAGCATTCCGCATTCCGCTTAAAAACAAACCACATACACACAGACATCTAAACTAAGTTTTAATTTGTCCACTTTTCGTGCACCTTTTCATTCATTCAGACCTATTGGCTATAGCATTCATACATCTGCAGTATGCATAGGTTTTATTCTTAAAACACAATCCTCAAATACAGTTGCTCATATGAAATCTTAAAAATAAGAAGCAATTTTGTTTAGCCCTTGTATTTCTGTAACACAAATAATCTGTAACACGTCTGCCAAAATCATGCTGTGATTAATTATATTAGTAAAATGTTGTCATAAATATTGAAGACATCTGGTTTATATTAAGGTTAGGTTACAGTTATATTTACTGTATATATATTTTTTAAGCTGTATGCCCCCAAAATGTGTGTTATAATATTTTTTCCTGCTCTAGCATTCCAGTTCCTCCAGTTTTGGGTTATTTCATTACTAAGATAGACTTAGTTGTCATAATGACTTCACACTATATGCTTCCCTTACTGAGCTCTGTGGCTGTACACACTGTTCTCTGTCCCTTCTCTTTCCCGGTATTGGCACATTTATGCAATGCAATTTCCACTAGCTAATGGATTTTGTGTTTGTGTGAGGCTACGGACTCTAGCTATCCAAAGCAATCATAAAGTGAAAACAGCATGAATAGCATCTCACTCCCGCTGTCTGTCTGTTGTTGGCTCTGAGATCTCCTTCAGACTATCATACAGTCAATTATGTTATTTATGGGACCATAGTGTTTAAATAATAATAATAATAATAATAATAATAATACATTTGATTTTAAGTGCTTTTCAACCTCCAAAGTCACTTTACATAGTCAAGATAATAAGCAAGATGAATGCATTCATAAATGAACTCATACATGTGGTCACGAAGCTCGATGTAAACGATGGACCTGCAGTGCAACAGATTATGAACCAACTGTGTGTGTCCATGGATTGGGGACTACATTTAGCTGGGACATGACTAGCATGGCAAGGAGTGACACAAAAAAAGAGAGTGACAAGATGGACAAGGCGAATGAGTGTGTGGACAGGAAAATAAGTGGTGGGACTTGGAGTCAGCCCTGAGGGTCAGAAAGCCAGGCCATTTCCTGTTGACCCTTGTATGAACTCTGACCCCTGCTGCAGGCTGCATCTATCACATGACAAGGGTGAGGTGGGGATTGAATGGATGGCTGGGTGGAGGAGGTTTTAGGCCAGGCAAAATGCATTTGAATTGTGTTTGACATTTAAGGAGTAATCACTTTGGCTTGGATTTGAACCTTGTTGCACATGGCCCTGCAGATGGGAGGAGGTATGAAGTGAATAAGGAAGGAATGTGGAAAGACAGTGAAAATGAGGAGTAAAACAAGAACAAATAGCTAAGCTAAAGGAGAGAGGGAGAGAGGTCAGGGAGGATGCTAGGCTAGTAGAGGAAAAGAAGAAAACAAGGGGGTACAAAGCTGCTGCAAACATCAATTGAAAATTACCATATAGTTACAATGTGTGTTTGTACCAGGAAGAAAATATACATATTTTCAAGATGACCTAATACCGATTTGTGTATATCACTGCTGTGTTGACTTTTCACATCCAACAGCGAATAATTGGAGGGCAAACTCAAAGAAAAAGTAATTCACACACTTTTACAAAAGAAAGGTTTTAATACTATAAGCATAATCATAACTGTAACATCATTATCATCAATTATCGTCATCAACATTTGGAAAGATTTTTTTAAATCAGAGACCCATAAGGGACTGAGGAAGATGCAGCATGTGTAAAGTCCTTTGGCTGTCCTCCTTAAACCCAATGGCAGACAACATGGACCATGAAATGGTACGACAGGATTGTGTGTGTGTTCACTGTTTGGCCTATGATGTGGATCCCAAAGTAAACCCTACTATTCATGTCTGACAGGATCTTAAGGAGGTAAGTGATCAACTCATTCCAATGTATTTAAACAAACCAAGGTACGTCCTTGAACAAACTGAGAGAGACAAATTGAGCTCATTCATAGTGTACTAGAGTCATGCAAAGTGACGCCCTGGAAGATCGCTGTTCACAGGACTTTTGTCAGGTCGCATCTCTCTGACATATAAATACAAAAATAGATTTTAAAAAAACTCAAATTAAATAAGGTGGGTGTATGTGACAGTTGTCAGTGTGGGAAGACGGCGTGGCGGAGAGAGGTCAGAGTGCATCACTGGCGTCCTGTCCGAACACAACGCTTCAAGCCTGGGCTGTGTGAGGTCATAAGGCTGGGGGGGCGTTGAGGGTTATGGAGGTTAAGGTGACACAGGCGGATCGGGAGGTGTGTGTCTGACCTGTATCCTACCATCTTTCCGCTTGGTTGGCCAGTAGGCCAGGTGGGAGAGAGGCAAGTTGGCTGGTCAGTGGTCCGTGTGGGGTGTTCCTCTGTGCTCCTAGAGGGGGCACTATCCTGGGAGTCAGACAGCTCACTGTCACCATAGAGTATGTAGAGCGGGAAGGGGCTGAGGACGCTCGCCTCTTCCACCCTGAAGTGGGCTTGGCTCACACTCAAGGGCTCAATATGGTGTATGTCTTTGTCTACGTCTGAGATGGAATGTAAGTATGTTATTGATGGTATAAGAGGGGCCAGTGGTGGTTTTAAAGGGAAGTTTATGCATGTTGCAGACAGTGGGTTGAGTGACTATGTGGAGGTCAGTGTCTTACAGCGGGAATGTAAACATTTGGACTGCGCCATGCTGTTTTAGATAGCATGTGGCGGGTGTGTGAGCCACAGGGTGGCCCCTCTCTCCCCTCTCCTTCACACCCTTCCTTCTCAGTTAGTGGGCGTGTATGTCCAGACCCTGGCCTATGAGGGGATCGGCGGGGTGGGGGTGGGGCGGCGGGTGCAGCAGCATGGCGGGGTGGGGGCCGGGGTAGGGGTGCAGGGACGGGCCGGCGTGGGGGTAACCAGACTGGGACAGCAGGGCCCCGGGGTACTCTCCTGGAAGAGATGGCATCCCCTGAAGACCTAGAGAGAGAGAGAGAGAGAGAGAGAGAGATAGAGAGAGAGAGAGAGAGAGAGAGAGAGAGAGAGAGAGAGAGAGAGAGAGAGAGAGGAATTGATGTTAGGAGGTACTGTACAACAGCATACCACTGAATGTGTCCACCAAATGATTGGTAAAAACACTAGGGTCATGTTCAGTAGGGCACACCAGAGCAAAACCTTTTAAAACGGGAAAATGGAAATGAGCATTTCTTATTGGACAAGTTCTGGTAGTGCCTCCCTGCTTCAGTCCGTTTTCTTCTCTTTGTTGCCTAACGAACATGACCCAGTCATCCTTATCTCTGTCTCTTACCTGCTGCCCTGAGACCCAGGTGGGCTTGGCCGTCCAGTCCGTAGCCCCCCAGTGCTGCTCCCTCTGGGCTGTAAGGACCACCTTGACCTGGTAAACCAAACACACAACCACATTAATACAACCTAGGAATTTATAGATACATGAGTAACAATACATTAGAGCAGGGAATACGGTGGTAATAACATGGTAATATTACCTGAGCGATTTGACTGGTCAATCATGGGCTGTACTATTCTCCGTCTTGCATTGATAAACCTGGAGAGGAAAGAGGGGGAAGAGGAGGAGAATTGAATGGAAGGAGAGTCGGGAGAGAACACCAGTTAATGGAGAAAAATACTAACTCTGGGAATATTAACCTTTCACTTTTACAACCACTTAACCCCTTCATGGTTCACCGTCAATCCACATTAGGACAGAGGGAGTATGGATCTCTGGGTGATAATGGATTGATCAGTATTGATGGGGTCAGTGGAGGTCACGCTAAGGACCGGGCAACAAGGGACACCGTACAGTAGTAAAACACACAGCTGATCATTGGTTATTGATCAGGGGGGTACTGACCAGTTGTTGACCTGCAGGATGGTCAGTCCTGTGTCCTGTGCCAGCTGCTTCTTCTGCTCCTCCGAGGGGTATGGGTGCTGGGAAGGGACATTCAGAACAAGGGCATTATTTATTTTCAAAACTGGTTGAGATTCAGCAAGAGCCTTTGCTTTTGGCATACATTATCATTGCATAAAATCATCAAATGTATCATTTTGGCTCACACATACACCACACACAAATGGCTCCACCAGTATCTGTGTAGAATTAAAAACCCAAAGCATGTATGAAAGAGGGAGACCTACAACCATTAGATTAATACTAATGACTGACATTCCATCTAAATTCATGTCAAATTCTATGAACTGACGTGACCCCTAAAGTGAAGCAGCCTCTCTCTCTCACACTCTCTCTCTCGCGCTCTCTCTCTCTAGTACAGTCATAATTAGTGAGAATTACTTTAGAGTTTTTCAATATAACTGCTAATTATCAGAATTACTACATTTCACCATAAATGGTTCTGTGTCTGTTCAGTACTATTCAATATTGAACCTCTTATTCACACATTATCTCTCTGTCATTGAATTCCATTTTCAGCGTAATTGTTTTGCATTACGTGTATGATATCCCCTTCCTCCTTTCCTCCCGTCACTCTTTCCTCTCCTCTCCCCTCCTCTGCTTCTATCTGTCATTCTTCTCTCACTATTATTTCTTCTGTCTCTCTTTTCTCACCGATAAATGCTGGAAGAGCCATGCCCTCATGATGTTGGTTGCCAGTTTGGGGAAAATGCCCCTCTTCTTGTTGTTCCTTCTGTCTCGGTCTGTCTCGTCCTCCTCTCCTGTACTGGGGGAGGCCACGCCCCCATCCAAACCATCCCCTGCCAGAGGACAATAGAGATATGGCATTAGCACAGTTTTTTTGTGTGTGTGTGTGTGTGTGTGTGTGTGTGTGTGTGTGTGTGTGTGTGTGTGTGTGTGTGTGTGTGTGTGTGTGTGTGTGTGTGTGTGTGTGCGTGCGTGCGTGCGCGTGCGTGCGCGTGCGTGCGTGTGTGTGTGTGTGTGTGTTAACATGTTCAATTGATGTCAGGTTTATGTGTATATGTCGATTATGTTGTTAGCATGAGTGATTGAAAAGACGAGAGTGTGTGTGTGCAGGTGTGTGTATGAGTTAGTGTGTTAGAGGTACCCGTATCGCTGCAGTTGTCTGTGCTGTGTGAAGGCAGGCCACACGACATGCCAGGTGTCCCTAGTGGAGTGGACGCACAGTCATCTGGGTCCCGCAACCACGACTGATTCTACAGAGAGAAGAAGGAAAGCGATAGAAACATATTGAGATGAACAGGGAAATTAAGAAGGTCTGCACTCAGTATCTGTAGTGAAAGAAAGTAAAATGTATTCCCTCTTTAGTGACAAGTGTTTTGCCCGACAGAGCTTCATCAGTGTCTTTTTCAGAGACATATTGAGAGCGATATACTGAGAAATCTGTGACTTTTGAGCTAATTTTTCATGTTCTCCTTGGACTAGTCAATCGCCATTCAGGTGTCACCTACCTGCTCTGACAGACTGGTGCAGGAGCCAGTGAAATCCTCCACGTCGGACTTGGACCCGCCCTCCCTGTCATCCAGAATCAGGTCTGTGGGCATCTTGCCCTTCAGGCAGGTGATGTAGCGATTACAGAAGTTATCACACAGGTCATGAACCTGGAATATAGAAGACGAGGAAGAGGGGGAAGAGAAATAGTATAGTACTGTAATGGTTTAGGTGTGTGACGGCTGATCATATCTGGTTTGTCTGCATTCAGCAGTCACTAGTCTGAATCATAAAGGGTAAGAGGAGAGAGAACGAGAGAGATAGCGAGAGAGAGGGAGAGAATATATTTTAGATGAGTGAAGAAGCACACCTTTTCCAGCTCCAACAGGTGGAAACGTAGTACCTGGATGGCCTGGATCATCTGAGGAGAAGAACAGATTGGTAGCTATGAACACAAGCTATTCCATATTGTAGCCTATGATATTATGACTGAAAAACATGCATTTGAGTTATTCTTAATCGATTTCTAGGTTACTGTGTGTCCCAACATGTAGGCTATAAGCATTTGGTTCTTTTGCTGTTACAGTATTTATATGTGTATTTATTTTCTTACCAGATTGTCCAGTTCAGGATTTGTAGAAAAAATTGGCTTTTCTGAGCGAATCTGAAACACACAAGGAAAGACGTCCACTGTCATTTGGATAATGGTTGGAGCTCGGAGCTTAAGATTTTCACTGTACCCTGGAATTAAACCTGCTTCCCTGCACATGTGACCATTAAACTTTTAATCTAAAATCGAATCATGAATCACTGCCGGCCACTATGATACATCCCACATACAGTACACAGCTGTTCTCTGATTGGCTCGTAGAGCTGTAACTCACCTGTTTGGCGAAGGCTGCGATGTCATCGTTGAAGGAGTCTGAGGAGCATACATCACTGTGATTGGTCAGGCCTTGGAGGTGGGGCGGGACTGAGAAGGATGTGACATCCCGTGGGGAGCAGGTGGCCAGCTCACACTTCTCAAACACCAGGGCCAGCAATGGAAACAGGGGATGACTGTGCACACAGAACACACACAGTGTTAACACAGGCACACATTTACATTTTAGTCATTTAGCAGACGCTCTTATCCAGAGCGACTTACAGTTAGTGAGTGCATAATTATTATTTTTATTTTTTCATACTGGCCCCCCGTGGGAATCGAACCCACAACCCTGCCGTTGCAAACGCCATGCTCTACCAACTGAGCTACACCCCTGCCGGCCATACCCTCCCCTACCCTACCCTGGACGACGCTGGGCCAATTGTGCGCCGCCCCATGGGTCTCCCGGTCGCGGCCGGCTACGACAGAGCCTGGATTCGAACCAGGATCTCTAGTGGCACACACACATACACACACACTCCCTCTCTCTCTCTCCTCACACACATGCATGTACACAATACACACACACATCCCAGCAAATGCATATAGGCACAGAGCACCCTGATAGTAAATATACATGCATACTGTTAGAATGAAAAATAGATCTAACAAACACACACACACACACACACACACACACAAACTGCAGTGAAATAGTTATTTTCTGCTCACCCATAGATCTGGTCCCTGTGGTGTTTGAGGGAATCTGGGACAGTGTGGCCATAGTGAGGGGGGGGCCAGTGACCTCATGGCCTCTCCATACCCCCCCACGGGCATGCCCTCTGACCCTGAGTAGTGCACCAAGTCTTCATACTGAGGAACAGGGGGGAGAGACATAACATATTCAACATGTGTGTTGGGGTGTATTTCAATCATCTGCATTTTGTTGTGGAGAGAAGTGGAGAAAGTTTGTGTGTGTGTGTGTGTGTGTGTGTGTGTGTGTGTGTGTGTGTGTGTGTGTGTGTGTGTGTGTGTGTGTGTGTGTGTGTGTGTGTGTGTGTGTAAGAGCAAGAATGAGAGAGAGAGAAATTAGGAGATGAGGCCCCCTGTGAATATGGAAGCAGATCACTTCGAAGCTGTAGCTAATTTTCTCTTCTCCTTCATAAACACTGACTAGAGGCTCCTTGCTGAGCAGTTTTTCAGAGGGAACATCCACACTGGGACTATTGACATGAGATAAACAAACACGCACAGATTCATACATAAATATGAGCCTATGCTCTCTATCTCTCACACACTCTGTCTGTCTCTCTCTCAACATTACAGAGCTGATGTGTGTTAAACTGTAGCTGACTTCAGTCTCCAAGGCTTTTCTTCTGTCAGCAAAAACCAGCGGTTTTCTCCTGGATTAAAGTATGGCCAATCATAGTCCCATATGGCTGCGTGATCACAGCGTGCACCTGCTCTGCGGTTTTGTCGGGACACCTTTTGTTTTATGGATACTCGCTATTAACACAATCACCACTATCAGGTTCCGCGCCTTTCTTTACACGAGCTCTCGGATTACAGTGCGACTGTAGCCGCTGTCCGTCAACGGATCAAAGCACCGAAATCAAGATGACGGATTCTTCAAATTTTCCTAAAAGGCATGAGGCTGAGAGAGGGGATTCAAACGTGAAAAACACTTACAATGTTAATACGATTATAATTTACTGCAATCCTCATCATTATCAGGATAGTTCAAAGAGAGAGCTTAGTTTGCTATACGAATATATAGGCATAAACTATTATCATTTAATTTTCTCAGCAATTAAGTTCAACATATTTTTTACTACATAGGCTATTACATATATTAGAAATATTCATGCTAACAATTAACCACAGACCAGTGGATGGATATATATCAGCATGCGCATCCTTCATATTTTGTTCTTGCAGTTGTTTTACTCAATAAACCAGTTTGAATAAACTATAAACATACTTGTTTGAACTTGCAATGTGCAATATATTCAATAAATACAAATCACTTCCCACCAGATTGCCTGTTGGCAAAAACAAAGTTTGCAAACATTCGCCTATAGCCTGTATTTCCAAAGCCATTCAACAGTTTCATTATTCTCACGGAGAAAATATGTTTTTCTCCAACATCAGACAAATGCAATGTATTTCATTCGAGTAGCTTATGTTAAAAATAAAAAGCACCAATGGGAACATACATTGGTATCCTACGTTGTCCCAACAACCTGCTTATTCCAATCTAAAGTGATAGAGTTTTTTGTGACAATAGTTTTTCATTTAGCATACATGTAGGCCTAATACACGTAGGTAGACTATGCAAAAATAGAATACTCTACAGGTTTCCTAACGGATGCATTTCCTTTCCGTTTAAGGTAGTCTAATAGCCATATGCTCGAATGACAGGCTAATGCCACCAATTGTAAACAGTGGGATATACTGTATACTTTACAGTGCCTGGGACAACATATTTAATTGATCAAATTCACTTCCCTTTGGTGCATATAACCGGAATTAGGCTAATTATGGATAATTGACTGATACACTTTCTTGACCTTGTTTCCGTGAACTAAAGTCTGAATTGTAATCAAATTGGCCAAAGAAAGTACCTGTTTTGTTGAATTTTAATTAGCGTAAATTACAACATTCTTAACAGGATTACACTAATATAACGAAAATCAAATGTAAAATGTAAATGAAAAGCGACTGCGTAATTGTCATCTGTAGGCCTAATTACAGTAAACCGAAAAATCTTATCCGGAAAAGTTACTTTGATTTGCACGACCCGAAGCCGTTGACAGTCAGGCTATATGACATATCAAAATGTCTTAATTTCCTCACTCAGCTGTAAGCCGAACGTGTTATTAAAACACAGATAACAAATAGATAACAATTTCATCTGACCTGTAACCTTTTTTTCTTTTAATGAAACATCAAGATAGATACAGAAAAGAGCAACAGTTCACTGCATGGGAGTTTGACAAGTTACTCAAAAAATGTGGTAGCCTATGTCTGCAGCCTTAGATATTCAGCAGGTTATTGGTGTGTGTGTGTTATGTGTGTGTGATACAATGTCATGATTAGTCTACTATGGTAATTTTCTTTAGGAATGGAAAAGAGTGGCACAGTGCACATAGCAACGGGATCCGCGAGCCGCGGACTCACTGTAGCAAAAGAGTTGACCTACTTAGCGACTTGGTCTGCCGCTCCCTGTCTCTCTTTTTACTCGACCTACTCACTTCACCTCATACTGTATATGGACATATAATGTCTTTCCATTTTCACAATGGAATCGAATATTAATTCCTGCAGGAAACACACATTCTCAGTTTTAAATAGCCTATATTTCAAATATTACACTATACATATTGAAACCCAGATAAACGTTTATGGCTATAAAGGGATAGTTTTTACACCCTATATAAGAGCTATATATTTATGGTCCTAAAGCCCTTGTAAAACAATGAGAAAAGTATCATTCTGACATTATATCAACACGACCCTAATGATTTAGGTCAGGTCAGTTTATTTAGGAATATTCAGAGCATGCACAATTATGTCAATAAGGTTATTCCTTCTGATAGCTTGATGTGAACTCCTTGACATGTTGCTGCTGCCTTCATTTGCCCTGTATGGCTGGGAGCTGTGGCCTACGCGAGGGAGGATAGGAAGGGAGGCGAGACAGGCAGCGAGAGGCGCTACGTCAAAACGTAAGGACCGAGCAAAGAGGCAAAATGCTACAATAACCAAACTAGCAAGATTATTATCTGGAGAGAAGGATACGCACTACCGTGATACTACAAATGATGAGTGAGTGTAAAGGATGCAGTAGAATTGAGTAAACAGCCATCCTACCCTCTTATCCATGCGACACGGAAGCCAATCCTACTCCGGGAAGGATGAGACCAGACCCGCTGTCCAGCGCAGGCGTTCTGCCTCCTGTATCCAGATTATCTGATGAAAAGAATGCGTTCTTTAATAAACGGATAGAGGTGAAATTATAACAGTTGCAGCATCAAACGCTTAAGTCTCATCATTATTTAGAACGGAGTTGGTTAAAAAAAAGAATAGCTAAACCAGAGTGTAGACCATAATTTGGCTACAGCAATAGCCTAGGCTAATATGGGCTACAATAGGCTACATATAATTCCGAAGTAAATTGAATCGTTACTTTTGATGCAATCAAGCAGCTTTATGATCCAAACTTAGATGTGCACGACCATAAAAGCGATGTGTATTCAATAGCTATCACTAATAAGAATATATCAACCATTAGGCTATGTTACATGCAGGCATCAAATATTACAGAAATCCAATACACTATTTTAGAAAAATATAATTCCATAAAATATCCCACCGAAACCTACATTTGACGTGTAGGCTATAGTCACTCTCAGGCATGGGCTGCGGTTTCGAGAGCGCTCTGGTAGGTCCGCACGTTATGTTTTTGGGTCCGGCTCGCAGGCGAGATGCTTGGTGAGGAGAAATAGCGTCCTTTTTGGTCGTTCTCGCTGTCCATGGACTGTCGCGACAGGCTGGAAAATGTCACAGCGACTTGAGTGATGTTGCTTTAAACATTGAGCGAGGCAGAGACGATGTGGGGAGAGATGGTGGTTGGGAGTTGTTTGGGGGTCAAAACACGACGGGGTCTCTCACCCCCACCTTCTTATCACACACACTCGCGCATTACAAACGCAGGATCCCCACGTTTTATTCCAATGGCACGCTCTACACAGACATAGCATGCATTAGCACAGTTTATTCGCTACCTTTCACTGTTGCTGAACCATGACAAGATAATGTCTGATAACGCAAAGATTTGAGGTCGAACACAGCATTTTCTTCATATTATCTCGTGGTCTTTATATTCCATAATCTGCAGGATAGTGCGCGCATTTATTAATGGGAACCATACAACCGTTATTGGTACTGGAAATAATGTTAGTATTGTTTCCAACACTTGCCTCAAGCATCTGGGGTATCCCAGCTCTCGGTAACAGCGTTTGTTGTTTTTAGTAGCATGTCAAATTAAGTAAAATTCACAGAAAATGCTGATGATTATTTCTGATAGGCTATTAAAAAAAAAAAAAAATTAGTCATTTAGCAGACGCTCTTATCCAGAGCGACTTACAGTTAGTGAGTGCATACATTTTTCATACTGGCCCCCGGTGGGCCTATATACCATGTTGGTTATTGGCCGCACAAATCAGAATTTCTGTATAGCCACGTTCATTCAACAACCCTGGAACAACCCACCACAGTGCATTTTGGTAACATATACAGTAAGTAATTATAGAATAGGCTATTAAATGTCTCATACATTGGTTCTACGCAAGATGTCCTATAGTTTTTACGCATGATAACATTTTTTAAGGATGGCAAATCAGGTCATAAATAATTTTCAATAGGGTAGGCCTATGACAATACATTTATTGGCTGATAATGACTATAGTAGCATTTTTTAGTTTTTGTTGACTTAATGTAATTGACCTGTCTTCTCCATTAAACTGCCCAAATGTCCCACTTTGCTTGGAACAGCAGGCCATTTTATTGTTCTGAAGATGTGTGAAAACCAGGCTACCTTTCTCTAAAGAGTTTTTTCTAATTCTAACTGGAGGGAAAACTTTCACAGCTCCGTGGACCTCGTCTTGTGTTGTAAATTACTCTTAAGTAACAAAATAATTATTCAAAACGGTTCTCTTTCACCTCTCACGCGGCGAGGGACCAATAGGCGGCCGAACTTCAATCGGCAGCGCGGTTGCGGCCACATGGGCCAGGGCAAGGCTTCACCGCGGGCGGCGTGGGGCATGATTTGGGGTGCAGCCAGCGAGCGCCGTAACATCAACCAACCTGCGGCCTTTTAACACCGCGGGAGGTTAATTCCCATGACGATGATCATAGCCTTTAGACCCCTCTAACATCGAATCCATAGCATCAATGAAAAATGTGAACGGACAGGAAATTACACTAAATATACGGCTTAATAGGATATTTGTAATTGATTAACAGGGATACATCCATTTCCAGTCCTATTCTGATTGTTTTATGTTTGTCATCATGGGTTAAAATAATTTCTACATTTAAGAGGCTACATTTTACAAACATAAATATAATCAATGCATGTATGGTGTGTGTTTCAATATTGTGTTAAGGGCTTCATGAAGAGATTATTTGTGCATAGTAGCCTACTGCAGCAAATTCGGGGGTAGCCTGGGACTTTTATCCTATGACCTTATCTTTGTCAGTCCAACATCCAAGCTATTATTGTGCAAGATCCAAACATCTTGATGAGGTTGCTGGTGTTGTAGGGATGCAACACTAGACTATCCCCTTCCTTCGGGAAGCACACCCTTGTGCTTCAATGAAGTCCATGTCATCCTGACACCAATACAGTGACTTTATAGGTAAAGCCTCAGAACTTAAATGGGGAATCTGCAGTTGAAACAACAACAAAGCGGCCACCCTGCCACTGATTTGGCCAATAGCTGAGAAATGGGGCTGAAGAAATGTAGCCACTCTTAAATTCATAGACAGAGCTATGGATGCAAGGACTGACCATCCATGAGATCTAAATGATAGTTTTAGCGATGTTTTGAGGCAATACAGTGTTTGTTTACAATTACATTGTTTACAAACAATGGAGTAAAAAATATATAGATATTTGGGGTTCTGTTGGGGTGCAACAGTTGAACTCAGGCCATGAGGCATGTATAAGATATATTCTTCAAGAATCAATGGGTAGCCTATATATCATTAATTTAAAAGTCAAAAAATGGACGTAGCAATTGCAGATTGCCCCTTTATACACTCAACCTAGCATCTCTTAAAACTTGTTAGCACTGGCAGTTTGAAGTGACTCAAATCAATTTTTTTTGCATATCTGATTCAAATCGGTTATTCTTCCTGTAGTCTGAACAGCCAAAAAGCACATGGAATCGGATATTTCAATACCTTCGTCGGTAGTTTCAAATCAGATACAAATCTGATTCCTGGCCATGCGTCTTGTGTCTGATCAGTCAAATCTGATTTATTTGCCCTCAAGTGGTTTCTAGACTGTTAATTGGCTAATTTTGTTGCTTGCTAGCTACTCTGTTGACACGTTGACAAGAACATGTGGTAGCTAACTAGCTTGTTAATTGTTTACAAACAAATAAGTGAATGTGCTAGAAAGCTAAACAGCTACCTAGCTAGCTAGTTGACTGCTGTGGCTAGCCAAACAGGACTCATTTTGAAAGTTGGATCATCTTATCCTTTGAGGCTTTAAAAAGTGTTCTTACACTATGATTTTGAACATGCAAAGAAACTGGGAAACGTCCATAATAGGCATTGTTGTCACCTTAGCTTGCTACATAACTTCTGAGTGATAAGACACATGAGCACCACCACCAATCAGCCTACACCACTGCTCATACAACCATCATTACTATGACAACCAGCGTAGACATGTCAGCAAATGACTGCTGGCTGAACACACAAATCCGATTTGATCACTTGTAACTTGCTGTTTGGACAGTCAGTATTCCAAAACGGATTTGAAAAACAAAACTGATTTGAGCATTAAGGCCTGCAGTGTGAACAAGGCTTAAGTTCAACCCACCTATGCAATTAAGGCAAGAGGTCAGAATCTTTTGACAAGGATGCTGGTGTACTAAGGACGTCACACTATATACGATATTTTCAGTGTATGGAGAGGATGTTAGAAGGAGTAGTTCTGAGTAGCCTATATGGCAAGGCTGCTGCAGTTGTTTGTCAGGCCCTGTCAGGGTTGGAGCGGCTGCTACTGTGCAATTGCGTGTGTGGGGGTCAATGTCAAGGTGCTCGTGATTCAAAGCCAGGCCTTACTGCAGGCATTGCCCAAGGATAAAGAGCAGAGAGAGGCTGAACAGGAAACAACAACAGGAGATTATGAAAAAGGTGGACGTGTTTAACTATAGAGTAAACAAACAAATATTTCACCAACTGGGGGTTTAGGATTAACGTTAGAATTAGTGTTAGGGTTAGAATTAGGTTTAGGGTTAGGGTTATGCGCTAGGGTTAGTTTTAGGGTTACGGTTAGGAGCTAGGGTTAGGTTTAGGGTTAAGGTTAGGTTTTTGGGTTAAGGTTAGGGTAAGGGTTAGGGTTAGGGGTTAGGGAAAATAGGATTTTGAATGGGACTGAATTGTGTCCCCACAAAGTCAGTTATACAAGACTGTGTGTGTGTGTGTGTGTTTATGTGTTTGTGTGTGTGAGTGTGCGCTTGGGTGTGTATGTGTACCTGTTTGCATGTCCATGTGCATCTGTTTGTCTATTTGTGTGTTTTCTGGAGAGAACTAAGTCATTTGAGAATTGTTTCTTAACCAAATATCAACATGTTCTGCCAGACTGATTAGAATTAGCCCATACATTACATTGATCAAATTGCTTTTTAGGGACATCGTACCCCTACTGGACCTGTACATCAGCCAGCCCATTGGGAGATCTCCTGGTCTACTGTGGTGTATTCACTAGGAACCAAACGGAAGCAAACGGGACGAAACAGGGTGGGACTAACCTGAACTTGTCCAATAAGAAACTCTTATTTTCATTGCAAAACCTTTTCCGTTACAAAACATTTTCGCTAAAGTCTACTGTGATGTGCACTAATGAATACACTCCTGCTGTATCCAGAGGCAGAAACACTCAGCATCTCCTCATTATCAACACTAGGCCTATCTCTAGCTGGACTCTCTCCCTCTACATCCAAGGCAATACAAAACTTCAGCGGTCCATATGGTCATGATTTATACTGCGTAGCCTTCACTTTGAGTGTTTATATAGATATTATCATTGCTTCTAGATCATGTCGATAGCACAGGTACATGTATATACATTAGGAAATATCAGCTGTATAATGAGCTTGTTGTTAGTGAACATGACAACATAGACCAGGGATGTGCAACTGGCGGCGGCCCCCGTTTTGTAGGCCCGCAGATTTAGAAGAAATGACTGTTGAGAGTTAGAATAGTAGAATACACAAGGTGCAATATCGAAATTTGGTTGTGCATCAGCAGTTTTAAGTAAGTTAGTCTAGCCAGCTATCTAAACTTTTAGTAATCATGGTTGAATTACCGACTGGGGAGGCCCCTATTGATTTTGTTAGTCACTCTTACTCAGATATCATATTAAAAACGGCAAACATTTCTCTCCACCCTATGGCAAAATGCAGCAAACTTGCTTTAAAACTGCAACATTTTCTCTACTTCCCATTGCAAAATGTGTAGAATTGCAGCAAACTTGCTTTAAAACTGTTACATTTTCTCAACTTCCCATGGCAAAATGTGTGGAAATGAACTCTAAAACTTCAACATTTTGTCTGCTGTCAAGAGTGGTGCCGCTAAAATATTTGCTTAGGGAACCCAAAACACTAGGGCCGACTCTGACTGCATGTGTGGGTCTGGATGTGGATATGCAGACCCGCGAGCCACTGGGGCCCCTCATGATGAGATCAGATTATTTTTGGGGCCCCCAGCCCCATCAAAGTTGCTCATCTTTGACATAGATTGTGTCTCGTCCATCATGTTAACGGTAAAACGGTGGGCCGTTGACATAGTTGCCTGTGGAAGAGGAGGGAGCCCCTGGGATAAACACTACCGGTTGCCCTTGGTTTGGTAACCTTGGCCACCCAGGCTAGTTGACACGGTTGACTCCGCCATAAAGGGAATATGGTTGCCTTGACCCTGGGGTACCCACAGTCCAGAGGGAACATCAGAGTGGGGTGACCCGGCAGTCAAGGAGCGGCACTCTCCAAAGGGGAGAAGGGGGTAAGAGGTGGGAGAGAGAGGGGTAAAAGCACGGAGAGGAGGGGCAGAGTGCTTTTTTATGAGCGTGTGCCTCTCCAGTTTCTGGGTCGTCTGGAAGCAAGGGACATAGGAAGTCTAGGGGAGGGAGGGAGGAGAGGGGAGCAAGAGAGAGAGAGGAGAGAGAGAGAGCGAGAGAGCAGAGAGAACGAAGAGAGCGAGAGGAGAGAGAGCAGAGAAGTGAGGGAGAGAGAGAGAGAGAGAGAGAGAGAGAGAGGAGAGAGAAGAGAGCGAGAGCGAGAAGCGAGAGAGAGAGCGATGAGAGATGAGAAGAGATAGAGATGAGCTGATATATCTCTGCCTCTACTATGATCGATATCGGCTCTTTGGACTCTCTCCTCTCATATCTCTCTCTCTCTCTCTCCTCCCTCTCTCTCCCTCTCTCCCTCTCTCTCTCTCTCTCTTCTCTCTCTCTCTCTCTCTCTTTCTTTCTCCGCTCTCTCTCTCCCTTTCGCTCTCTCTCCATCTCATCCTACCAGCCCATTTTCATCACCATGTTCTTACAGTACAGTATTGTCTGTGAACTTATTCTCTCTCAGCCTGTCTGCATTTCTGTCTCCACCTGCTTTGACACTGTACTTCATTCACTACACTTAACCCCTCTCTCTCCCACTCAAGCCCTACACTCCTCCTCTCCATCCCTCCATCATTTCATGTTTACCTTCCTTTGGAGAAGTCATCACTGCCTTTCGCCATTCTTTCATTTTCTCCCCCTGTTTCTCTCCCGCTCCCTCTCTCCTCCACTCTCCTTATAGATGGAGATTAAGTCTGGGCTGGAGCCCCATCCATTTCCCTGACTGTTGTTATTAAGGAGATGGATGGAGGCTTGCAGTGCCAGCTCGACGCAGCAGCAATTACAGCAGGTCCAGTGATAGATGGAGGGAGAGCGAGAGGGAGCGAGGGAGGAGATGGAGAAAGGGAGATAGAGAGAGGGGCATCTATCACGCCCTTTAATCTACCTGTCACTGCTCTGGGAAGGCTGGGAAGGAGGCT